GACTTTAAAACTAAAAGTAAAAATTTGTTATGTTTTTAACTACGCACGTACCAACTGCAACAAAGTGAAGTTCAAGGGAATTCGTATTTGTATATGAAGAGAAATGATAGTAAGTTTTACAAAGCTCACTCCCATTTCTGAAATAGCTATAGCAAAACATATTATCTGTCATAATTCTAGGAAAGTATTTTCTAGAGAAGCTATTTCTTAAAAGAACTGAACATGTTTATAAATATCTGAGCAATGATTAACCAATCCACATTATACCTACAGGAATCAAATTAATTTCTTTTTTAGGATTCTACAAGTAAATTCTTTTTAAGTCATATGCCGTAAAAATATAAAACTTACATTTAAGTACTTCCTTGCTGTTTTGAGAATAATCCTTTTGCTAATGGGATTAGCAGACATTTATTTTAAAATAGTCACAGAAAGTATAAAGCCAACTGTAACAGTAACCTTAAAAAAATCAGGCCTTATATTTAATTGCTTCATTTAACTGATAGATTTTTTTTCACCTTAAAAAATAAGTATGTTTGGCTTTGTTTTTTGGTTATTGTCTTGCCTTACTCAAACTTTACTGGAGCCAGGGAATGAACATATTTTATACTCAGTTGAGAGATTTTTATCAGTACACTTAAAGGCAGCAGGATGCATAATTAGGTATGCCTGCCATCTGCATGGCCCTCCAGGTGCAAAAGGCATTAGCTTTATTTAATATTACAACAACATTAATTTTACTCCATTAATTTATGTCATGTGTCCCTTTTTTCAAACTTGAATTGCCAAACTAAAGCACTGGTCATGATGACCCAATTCTGATTTTAGTGAAAACCTTATACAATAAACAAAATTGTAAGCAATCTCCCTCACTAAGAATACTTTTAAGAAACAGGAATTAATGGCCGGCTTTCACATCTTTAAAAAAAAAAAAAAAGGAATCCTATAAGCAAAATCTTCCTAATTTGGGTATAATAAGTGTTTTTTCCCAATAGAGAGCACATCACAATATCATGATTTTTGGTGGCACTGGCGGGGCACTAGCAAATTTTAAATCACATAATGAGAAAGGCGTGAAAATTCCTTTAAATTCTTTAAAGTCTAGGAAAGAATTTCCATGGAGTTGCTGACACCATTTGCAATTCTCCCTTTCTAACAGAGAGAGCAAGCTTCAAGCCCCCCACATCCCAGATTAATATGATTAGGTTACATTGTTTGTGCTTGTAAGGTAAAGTCTGAGTTGTAGCTGTGTCCCTCACCCAGCATGCATGCCCTATTGATCCTTGGTAGACAATAGTATCTCGGTGGAATTTATGAGCTTTTGCTTAGATTTTGTTATTTATGGCAAATGGCATTGGTTTCTATTTAAAGTAGTGAGGTACAATTTCTTTTAAACACATGTAAGTAAAGAGAAGTTAGTCTATTACTGCATGTAAAGAATAATATTTAATAATTAATAGGACAGTTATGTGTCTGAAGATACGGGAAACATCACGAAGGTTGTATATAAAGCAACAGAAATTTTGGAAAGTTTGGTGTAATTGCATCCAACTCAGAAGAGAAACATGCAATTACACAAAAATGAAAACGAAGACTATTTAAAGAAAGCATTAAACTTCTATGACTCAGTCTTCTAGGACAGTGTAATTATAACTACTACTCCCATTTCTTGAGAGCGTCTTCTGTACAGGGTATTAATATTTACATATAGTTATTTAATTTCCCCAAACAAGGTAACTCTTATTGAATGGAATGAAGCCACTTTAGGGTAATGAAGTTTAGGGGAGTGGAACCTTGAGTGCCAAATATTTCAAGGTAGGCTCAGGTGAAAAAAATCATAATTTCCAGGACATCAGTAAGTAAAAGAAATAAGAAGAAAAAGTATGTTTTCCAAGGATAATTGTGTTTGTTTCTGAAAATATGCATGTAAGGAGGAGGTAGGTAGGTGAAAAGAGGATCACGGGAGAATTCACACAAGTTTCTCAAAATATGCCCGGCTAAGTAACACGTTGAAGCTCCCTCCTAGAAGCTGCTTGAGGCAGTCTTTTGCTAGTACCTTCTGGAAACTTCAAGGAACATTTTCAGTGAGGCAATTCTGAGATCATTACCAGAGATTTGCCTCTTGCTTGGCAGAGTACCTTTCAACGGCCTATTACTGAACTTTCAGTACTTGACTGACAATTCAAATCCTTAGACAAATAAGTTTTTTTTTTTTTTCTCATTTACACTGAAATGGAAAATACAGAGCAGTTGCTTTTGAGGAGAAGGAAGCTGCGATGTCAAGCACACAAAAAATTGCTTCAGGAAACAATTGCTTTCCCCGGTTTTCATACTCTAACTTAGAAATTTTCTTGATGCCAACGATTTTTTTCCTCTTGAGGTAATGGAAGCCAATCTTGCCTCCCAAATAACTTTTGAACGTCAATTCCTAGTAGACCGAGTTGAGGAACATCTTTGTACCAACCAAATGCATTCCAGAATATCTGTCGCTGGTGTGAGACAGCACACCAGGGCTGCTGCCAGCCAGTGATGACGGTGCCGACATTCCTGCACCTAGACGGTGTGGAAAAAAGCCTAGGGACTCTTGTCTCCCTGAAGATATCCTGTCAGCTTCTCCACGCCCTCTGAGATCTGAAGAGGGCCCTGGCTTGTCCACGACGTTCTCAGACCACAAACCGACCAGATGGAAGGCAGCGCCCTGCGCTGTTATCTCAGAGCAGGGCAGAGCTCTCTTTGTTCCTTCATGTTGATCAGAATCTGCTTTTTCAAGATTCACAAAATGACCCAAAACAAAAACAAGCAGAAAAACCTCTCATCCTTTTTTCTTCTTATCTTTCATAAATTTTAATCTGTTTTTGCTTCCAACTCCATTGCTGTCCTGATTGCACTGACTTTAGGCCTCATTACTCCTCCTACGGCTGTTTACCAATCAGTGCTGAAATGAAATGCTGGGATGTTTTTGTCCTTTTGGAGTGGTGATGAAGAACACTAGAAACCTGTGGTATTCTCCAGTCTGATTTAATCGAACAAGTACTTATTATAGAACCTGTTATGGGCGACCCACTGTCTTTGATAGAACATGGTATTAACACTATAACATTCAAGTCTTTACTTACCTAAACTCTTTGCTTAAGAACTTTCTTCCTTCACCACGGAAAACACTTACACTTCTAGGAAAGGCTAGGGTAGGAAGCATAAGCCTTTGTTACTTATCCCCAATGCTGATGAATCTACATTTTTTTCTTCTTAAAATTTACCTTCCCTCCTCTCCCCTCTCTTTCATGTGCTTTAACTTTGTTAATTGACAGTAAATCACAGGCCGGGTGCGGGGGTTCACGCCTGTAATGCTAGCACTCTGGGAGGCCAAGCAGATGGATTGTGGGTTCGAGACCAACTTGAGCCCTATCGCTCAAAAAAAATAGCCAGGTGCCTATAGTCCCAGCCACTGGAGAGGCTCAGGCAAGAGAATCACTTAAACCCAAGAGTTTGAGGTTGCTGTGAGCTGTGATGCCAGAGCACTCTATGGAGAGCGACAAAGTGAAACTCGGTCTCAAAAAAAAGCCCCATAAAAACAAAATAGTAATTCACAGATTCTCTCCTATTAGCTCAGTATATAAAAACAGTATTAGTTTCCCAGGGCTTCTGTAACAATGTATCACAAACTACATGCGTAAAACAGAAATTTATTTTCTCACAGTTCTGGAGGGCAGAAGTCTGAAATCAAGATGCCAACAAAGTCAACCTCCCTATGAAAGCTCTAGGGAAAAATCCTCCCTAGCCTCTCCAGCTTAGGGGGACCCAGGGGTTCCCTGTCTTGTTTCTTTGCTGTTTTCACATGGTCTTCTTCCCCAGAGTCTCTGTCTTCACGTGGCCTCATAAGGAAACCAGTCTAGGAGAGAGCGCCCCGGTCCAGGAAGTCCAGTTGGATACAGATGGGGGGGGGGGGCAAAGGACTGAGCACCACCGATGTTTTGTTTTCTATTGTCCCACATAAACAAATATACAAAAAAACCACTGGTGGGGTTAGTCCCTGACACCCCACTTTGGGATGTGACAGATAACTAATTTTATCTCCAAAGACTATTTCCAGAAGTCACATTCTGAGGTTCAGGGTCAACCTGAATTCTAGGCAGACACCATTTAAGCTAGTACAGAGACTTACTGGGTTGATCTGACTGGAAGGACGTCCACATATTTCAAACTTTAATTCACTGGGTTGACTTTCTCTGGTACAGTCTGGTAGGGATTGTCCCCCATAAAACATTTTGTTTGTTTGAACTTGCTCAAGAGGCCAGTCCAGTTTCTAGCAGCAGTCTATGAGGGAACAATCCTGCCATACCCTCAGCAAGGAGACCCACTGTGTGATGGCTAAGGAGCTAAATGTATCACTGGATTTAGGAACAATAGCTCCCAAATTGTTACAATATATATTTATGTCTGTTTATTTATATAACTGAGAATCACAGAATACTTGTATTTTAAAACTAACTAGGAACTTTAATCTATCACTTTACAGCTGAGATGAATTAGAGGGATGTGCACGTGTTCATTAGCTAATTTGAACTAGAACAAAATTTCCACAATTCCTTGCTCAGGGTTCAAATCAGACTTTCCTTATTTAATATAGTTTTCGTTATGATTTTTCCACCAGAATACATTTTAGCTCTTGACTACACTAAAGAACAACTTGTAACATTATTGCATTAGCAGGAAAGTAGGAAAACATAGGAAGGGAGGATACAACTCTTCCAACAGTGTCATTTCCTCAGATCTATGAATCTTTGGTGTTAGAAAAAATTATGAAGGTAAAAAAGTCCTTTGAGCTTTTCAGAACCATGTCGTTCAAAGTTCCTCTGACTGTCACTATGGACACCATATGTGCAGTTAGACATGAAGAAAACTAATTTTAAGCTGTAAATCTTGAACAGTGTAACAGAGTTCTCCCCCAGTAAAAGAACAAATAAATAAATAAATAAATAAAATAACGCCCGCTTCTGTAGTTGTGTACCACTGACACTTCTTGTTTATTCACTTTAATTCTGCATTTACACAAGAATGCTGTAATAAAATATCTGTACACTACTTCTGTTACAAATATAGATAATATTTAAAGTGACTTTATATATTCTAATGTAGGAGTTTCACGCTCTAAAATGGGAATGAACACATGATAATTCCTCACCAGTTGTCTCAATAAACAGCTCCATCTGTTTCCCTTAGTTCTTAAGCTATTGTATTATAAGATGTTAATATAAGGCAATGAAATGAAGTTATGTTAATCCCCTTAATTTTTCCATCAATTTACTAGTGGCATACAACCAAAATAATCACGAACACATTGCTTTTTCTGTCAGTAAGATTAATAGTGATTGAAAACCGATTGCACAGCACACTCACACGTTTTTAGTGTTGCATCAGTGGTTAAAACCAGCTCTAAAAGACGCTGGGACCCTCCATGTTCCTCCATGATTAGCACAGCTGCTCTCTAGAAACACCACAGTCAACATGGGGTAGCATCACAGTTTCTCTCACAGCAACATGGGAATATTTTATAGCAAGTCAAAAACTGAAAAAAGAGCATTGAGATATGCAAGAATTATGATTTCTTTACAAAATTTAGGGGCATGGCTTCTTACAGTTCCTATTTACACAATCACAGAAACCAATTTTAGCAGGAAAGATACATGTGCATATCAGAGAGGGGGAGATGCAAATTTTAATAATACTCTGTCCAAAATTTTTAAATACTAAGAGTATTTAAGATTTTTAATAGAAAAAAGTTCTTTTTTCTTTTTTAGTTTGGTGTGGGGAGAGGAATTAGATTGCCAAATGGAGGCATTTTTATAAAACTCTGAGGTTTTCTTCTTGATCTTGTATTTTCATTACACGTGCTAATTTATTGAACACGTTTGTCTTTGATTAGCTTTAGAATTATTTTTCTTTCTACTAACCAACAGAGCACATAATAATTTTTGCCCATGTGACTAGAAAATATTAGATATTGTCACAAAGAAAAAACAGATTTACCTATGCAAATATCCATTGTCTTTGTTTGAGTTTGAGTTCACAGAATGCAAGGGGAAAAGAAAAATAATGTTCAGTTGTCAGTAAGAAAACCATTTCCACATGAGAAAAAGAAACTTCAATGTTATTTTTATCCTACAGTTTTGAAGATTCCCAGTGACCACAGCTCGGGAAACAGTCACCCACAAGTCTACGTCCATGGTCTTTAGAACAGTAAGTGAGAGGTGTTACGCTGGCTCAGTTCTGGCAGCTGATTCAGGAGAGAACCATCAGAGTGACAGTGCCTTTTGTCCGCTTAAGGATGGCAACAGCTTCTTCGTGGGTTACCCCTTCTAGACTCTGCCCATTGACAGCAATGATCTGATCGCCCCTTTTCAGACGCCCGTCTTCAGACGCTGCTCCCTGAAATTACAAAGTAGGATTATTTACTGCTCAAAAAACGCTGCCTCAAAGCTACATAACTGAGAAAGATATAACCAAGAATGTAAATTGCTCTGCTTGCACACACACGGCTCCTGGTGCTCCGTGGGTGCTCCAGATCCATTAAGCCATGATGGACATACACAAAGGAGGCCTTCCTCCTAAATGGTTTTAGCACTGAGATTTCAATTTGAGAGAGGATTCAGCAGTCAATAGATTAGTTGGATGGTTTTTTGGCTGTTCGGCATAGCAGTTGGTGGGAACTCAAATTAATAAAGAATATTTGGGAATATGCCTAGTAGAAATGATTTAATGGAATCCAGGATTTTCTATCCTACTGAAAGAAGACAAAGGATTAGGTAGTAACAGAAACAGTTTTACAGAACAAGAGCAAGAGGACTACAAATCTCAAAGTTTTGTAGAAGCATCAGGCCCAGCTCTGGTTGGCCAGGGCAAGATAAAGCATAAGTCCGGAACCTAAAACCCACTGAGATTCTAATTCTTGCTGTAGCTTTGAAAAAACTGCTGGAGCTATCTTGGTTTTACACTTCCCAAGAGGGGATGGATTCTTTATGCTCCTTCTGGGCCCTAAATGATGAAGATTGAACACAGACCTTGCTGTTTGAAAAAGAACCTCATTTTAAGGCATAGTTATAGAAGACAATTATGCAATTAAATACAAAATTAAAAATATGGAAAAGTTAATGAGGACTCCATAATGATGACAATCTTAAAATATGTTCTAACTAGCATGCCTTAAATAAATTGCTCCCAGGCTGAGGAGAAGGACTGTATGACTCTTCTATTCACTGGCAAATGCTCTTTGTATTTTTGGACATACCAATAGTTGAAAAAAATTCCTAAAGTAAGCCTATAAATAGTTGTAGATGCAGAATTTTAAATTGTTTAAAAATACATATTTTTTCCAAAATAAAAAATGAAACATCAACAAAATTTTTCCAAAATAATAAAATGAAATATGAACAAATTAGTCACCTCACTAATCTAAAATCCCTTATAAGTTTTGTTCCTTTACACTATGAAATTTTGAGTTTCTGGAGTTTCTTTTGTATGAAATTTTATATAATTTTGTAGCTTCAGAAAGGCTATCTTAACATATTAACACAATTATGTGCGTCTACATTATTTTGATAACTTACCATAACATATCAATATTGCAATATTTTCAGTCTTTATTCTAAATACTCTTAAGATAGAAGAGAATCATATAGACTACCATACGATTACAACTATATTCAATTGTTTTAAGCAAATCCTTTAATTCCAAACAGCTGATTTATTATTATAAATGTCAGAGCAGCTGGAATCCTCAAGTTTTTTAGTAGTGATTTTCCTATTTTGTCAATGAAATGAAACATAAGATAAAGGCCTATTAATCTGCACGTGTACTTCATGTACTTTTCTGTACCTATTTTATATTTCACAATAACAAAAATCAAACAGAAATGCAGTGTTCTATAGCATATATATATGCATATATATATGTAATGTCTTATTTTCAAAAGACAACATTTGCCAACTTGTTTTCAAAGGAAAAAAAAACAGGTTTTTGTAACCAAAGTTCATAATATTTTAATGTCTATTGTCAAGAGTTTCCATGGAGTTTCAATTTAAGCCTACTTTTCTTTAAACGTTAACTATGCCCCAAATTGTGCAAAAATATTTAATGACCTGTTTCTGTAGGGAGTTTTGAAAGAAAATGATCCACTGTTAACCATTTGGCATTACCTCAGGCCATAAACTAATAAGCCAGCTGCTGACCACTATTAATGAATGTTTAGGGGGGGAAAGGGTGGTTAAAATGTGCAAGCTTACCTTTGCAAACACTGTTTTAACATAAATGGGTAAGTCTCCATGAGGGCTGCCATATCCCCCTACTATACTGAAGCCTAAGCCATCTGGTCCTCGGTCTAGCGTAATGGACTTACACTGAGGAGGTCTATAGTAAAGAGAGGAAAAGAAAGAAGTTTTGGATTTTTATAAAATATGTATCTCTGTGACTGTGTAAGCTATGGATTATCTGTCATGTACCTCGAGCTGGCGTAATTCTCTCTGTTACTTACAGTGAGCGTATTATGCGTATTTCGGGGATGCTTAAATTGTCAGTGCATGCTGTGCTCAGTATTTTAAATTTACATAATCTAATGAAATCCTACTTAACACCCTAATTCTATTACTCATTTACAGTTCCCTTAAACCACCGTATTCATGGCATGCTCTCACTGTGCAGAGAGGCTCATTCTTTTTCCTTTATTTAAAACACGAGGGCTAAGATTCAGGGGGCCATAATGGAGTAAGTTGTAGACATCAGTACTTAACAAGCTCAGAGAGAAAAACCAATTACAAGCAATGTAAAAGCTGCACCAAATTATTTAAAAATGGTAACGTGCCCCTTCTCTTCTATTTTTCTTTTTTTAAAAATTTATTTATTTTTGTTGTTGAGACAGAGTCCCATCCTATGCAGTAGTCTAGTACTTTTTCACTTAAAGGACGATTTGTTAAATGAATAGGTAAGGCTTGAAATTTTAATGGGACAGATTTGACGACTTCCACTAAGACTAAAACATCTCACCAAGAACATCAGAGCTGAAAACGTAGGAGGGGCAGTGGCAGGCAAGTCTAGGTAGGTAGCTATCTCTTAGTTTATGTCTGCCCAGCTGAATCCATGCCTTCATTATTTAACTGTTCACAGCACTTGATTTTTGTATTTCGTCCCTCATATCTTCTATTATTTTACCTCTTTCTGATTGCTTAGAAGCATGGAACAAAGAATCCAACTGTTAGGGAGGTTTGACTCATAAGTGACAAATGATATCCAAACTGTCAGAGATGAGCTCACCCTAAGTCATCCTGAAATATACTGCTTGACGCCAGCCCAGTGAAGGAAAGGCTAGAACTGGCAGGCTCCTGCTGATGGCCGGTGACCACACTCACATCTCCACCAGCAACCACCTGTGCGGAGCAGAAGTATAAAGAGAAAAAACACATGTTCGTGTGGCTATGGAGACAGCAGTAATTTTTCTTCATAAAGAACATTTGGATTAAAATGTGTCTTTTATTGTCCATTTAATCATTTCTGTTAACATAAAATACAATCAAAGACAAAGAAATTTCACAAGGTCCAGAGGACTCTTAACTGTCCCGATAGTAAAAATATTCTAATTCAATTCTACAAAGGTTTTTGATGCTTTTAAAATGCGGTCTCATACATGATCATTTTTTCAAGATCTGTAGATCTGTCTCTTATTCACATCACTTAAAATTCTAGCCATTAATCACCCACTGCTAAGGCCCTGTGATTTTTCCTCCTTGGACAGATAGTATGAAACAATAAACACATCAGGATAAAATGTTACAGAATGTGTTTCATATGTGCTTTCTTGGAGCTCATTTTTATATTCAAGAGAAATATTAAATAAAATATTAGCACAAGATGTAATCATTTTTACTCTTTAACATCAAAACTCATGTGTTCTCACACTACTTACATTCATAATAGTGCTTGGGACAGAAGTCTTACCTGCATTTCAATGGAGCCAGATGCGTTTTTCAGTAGGTTAACTGCCTGCGTGTGGGTCATGCCCTCAGTGGACGTGCCACAGATAGTGACAATCCTATCTCCAACCTGGAGAGAGAAATAACCACCTGCTAAAACAATCACAGAGTCTGGGACTTTGAAATCTGGGCAATCAATTTCACCCTCCACCTTCCGCATCACCTATATACTGCTACCAGCTGCTTAAATACGTGGATATCATCAAGGAAACACTAATTCCAAAAATTCCAAGAGGCGGCAACCTCAGAATGAAACAGCATGTAAGAGCTGAGTTCTACAGTCTCTAGAGAAGGAGGGAGGGAGAGGGAGAAAGTCGCTCTTCCCTTCTCTTTGTTTCTCCTGGTAAGACATAATTTCCCGTTAAAGAAGTAAAATACACTATCATCTGGAAACCACGATTTCTTTGGACAGTATTGATATAATGATTGCATGTGACTCTAAGCCAGAAGTTGGCAAACTAAGGCCCACAGACCAAATTTGGCCCCTTGTCTCTTTTGGTTAATAAAGTTTGGTTGGAAGACAGCCACCTTCACTGGGCTGCTTTCACAGGGCAGAGTTGAGTAGATGTAACAGAAACTCGTATGTCCTACAAAGCCTCAAATATTTACCATCTCTCTTTACAGAAAATTTGCTGACCCCTGTGCTATATGTACAGTTTTTAAATGTCAGCCATAAATTTAGATAGCAAAGAGGCTGCATCAGTCTCAACTTACAGACTATTTAAACTAAGATGTGGTTATGTTCTGAGACCTTGTTTGAAGCATAAAGAGCCACAGAAATTTTACTACTGAGAGACCGAGTTGCTTTAATGGAAGAGTCACATGATTTTAGAGCTGGGAAGAGAGCATGAATTCCATCATGGTGCTCCACTCTTGGATAACCCTTCAAATTTGAAATAAGTCTTGCATAGTTTTACATTATAAGTCATGTTTACATTAAACTTCTGTAAAATGTATAAATAATACGTTCCAATTTAATCAAGTTAAATCAGCATTTAAACCAATAAAATATATATGGAAAAAATTTTACTTTATACTGATATTCTGAAAACATACTTTTATTTTTTTTCTTTTCTTGAAACAGAGACACACTTTGTTGCCCAGGCTACAGTGCTGTGGCCTCAGCTTAACTCACAGCAACCTCAAACTCCTGGGCTCAAGTGATCCTCCTGTCTCAGCCTCTGAGTATCTAGGACGATAGGCACCCAACACAATACCTGGCTAATTTCACTCTTGCCCAGGATGCGCTCAAACTATTGGGCTCAAGTGATTCTCCTGCCTCAGCCTTCCAAAGTACTAGGATTATAGGCTTGAGTCACCATGCCTGGCCTGAAAATCCACTTTCTATTCTCTTTTATTAATAACTTGCTTTACAGAGTTTCAAGTATGTAAAAAGCAATATCTTAACAACTATAAATCTTCCCATTTCATTTGACTGCAAGTTTGTATTCAACAGAATCATGTCCTCCTTTCTTTTAATATTCTTTATTTTTTATTCAAAGCAAGTGCTGCTATGGTTAGATTAGCTGATCTAAAGACAGACAGAGACATTAAACTGCCTTACAACAGGTGGCTAAATTCAAAGGATTCATTAGAAAAATTTTGCTAGATTTGCTGGGGCTATTAAGGCCATTAATAAAACTTACCCGGAGTTTTTGGGTCTGAGCTGCAACTCCATTTGGGTGCATCATTGCAATAAATATTGGAACGTCACCAAGTGGGCTGCCCACTCCTCCGGCAATGCTGATTCCTAATGAGTCAGTAGACCCCTGCCATGCAATGGGTATAAATTTTGGTCACAGTGCTATTTTTAATTGACCTTTTGTTTATTCTTTGGCGCAACATTCTATAGCCAACTCCGATATTCTAGATGTGAGGGTGGAAAATGAAGCTCAAGAAAACAGCCTTACTACATGACACAGGGCCTTAGTTTGGCTTACAAAAATAAGCATCTGTTCAGGGCAGAAAAGAAATCAAGACATGTCATAAAATCACGTTATGGGACTGATGAAAGGCAGGAAACGCATCAAGCACAAAGACCACAGTTTTTGGAATCAGAGAGACTCTGTTCAAAGCCCGGAGGTCACACTTATAAATGCTGGGACGCAGAACAAGTCTGCTCCCCTCAATAAATCACAAGACTCATATACAGAACTGAGATCACAGCACCGCTCAGAGAGCTGCAGTGAGCATGAAACACCACACTGATGATACACCATGTCTGTGAGGGTGCTCAGCACACAGGGAAGGCCCAGCAAACTAAAACTGCTGTTACTCCCTTGCTCTGTGCGCAGTTGCCTGGGAATCTGCTTCTAAGAAGTGTCTGTGAGGGGAGGACTTACTCATCGGCATGAGAAGTGAGGGGCCGGGCACCATTTTGCATGGGGTCAGGTTGATGTCCCACTTTAGGCAGTACAGAATGTGCAAACAGTGACTTTTCAAAGGAAGTACTATGGTCAGGAAAGTCAGCAAAGAATGCTTTGTGTGGTTTCCCTTCTATACAATACACATTTTTTTTTTTTTCCCAGATGGGTACTTCAAAACAGTAAGACAGTTAGCAAGAAAATACATTTAAAGATACTTCTGAAGACACCAGCGTTTATGTTGCTTTCTCTTTCCCAAGTTACCTTTTTTATTTCAACTGTTCTTAATCCTTGTATTTCAGATGCCACTAAAAAGGCAAAAAAAGATAAAATGTGGTTATTATAGCACTTGCTATGTTCATAAATACTTTGGTCAATGTATGAGTGGTGAATGGGACTAAATGGGATACCCTTGTTTTGGGTGTTGGTTTTGTTTGAAAGAAGGTGCTCCAAGTCACTAGTACACACCTTCAGGTCTGCCTCACATAGGAATTCTTTATTTCTCCCGCTAGACAAATGCACATAGCACCCCGTTTCTTCTCATTTTCAATACTGATTATATAAATGGATAATCCACTTTGCACCCCTCAAGGGAAGAATGTGCTTGGGATAGAAAGACACATGTGCATGTGAGAGAAGAATAAAGTCACGAGCATGAAAAGAAATTCGTGGACTGCAGTGCCTCAATTTCTAGAATATTAGTCACCTCGCAAACAGAGACTGCCATATGGTTAGTTTCTTCGATTCAAACAACTCTCAACCACTGCGCCATGCCAAGAAATCCTCTGCATCATGAGTTTATGTAATTAAAACACAGCAGGATCTTACTAATTTTCTTAATTTTTTTTCAGTCTTTATGGAAAAAGAAGGCATCAGTTAATGGCATCTTTTGATTAGCATTACATTAAATAGAGAAAAATAATGAAATTGAATACACAAATCTTCGTAGTAAGAAAACAAATTACAGGATCTGGATTATAATGCTCGGTGTCTGGAAGAGTAAACATCAAATGGGAAAAGATGCCATAGGCACAGCGTCCTATTGTTCAGATTTTTTGCCAATACCCGTTTTTGCACCAATATTAGGATATGGGATGATGTGGGGAGGAATAAAGCTCAGAGGTAAACAAGGGAAAAAAAAAATCAGTGTTGACAGCCAAAACTCAACCCCTAAAAAGCATGCTTAAAATATTGAACCAATCTTACCTGTATTTTTCTTTGAGCTACTTTCCAGTGACTCAGTTGTACTCGATCCAGAAAGTGGAAAAGTGAAAGAGGACAGGCTGCCTTCACTCACCTACAAATAGATAAGAATTATTTCAGAAAGTTTGGAAGCAGTAACACTCCCTTCATACCACTCCTTTCAGAATTCAAATGTTTTAGCGCATCTAGAAATAAATACATATTAAGCAACGGTGGCATCTGAAAATTTGAGGGACAATTTAAACATAGTTTCTATTCCATTTACTTTTTCTTTCTAAGAAAGAACCTGTCTACTGACATGAATAAACTAAAGCTAAAGGCTCAATGGAACTGATTCCAACTTACCTAAAGTTTTAGTGGATTTTCATAATCTCATTCAAGTTAACCCTCCCTACGTGGACACAAGTGGTTTGAAAGGAAGAGTAGGACGTAGACCCACAAGATTAGGACCAGTCACTAGGAAATTAATGATAGTAATTACGGAAGTTAGTAAGGGGTCTTTAAGAATAGATTGATGAAAATGGGCTTCTGTCATCAGAAGACAAAATCGAGGAGGGGGCTTGCCATGAATTTTTAACTATTTAACATGATATTGTCATACGTGGCACTAAGCACCTGTATGAAACTTTTCATTTGAATATTGATTAACATGTGTTACAAAATACATTATCTCGGTAAGCTTTACATCTACCAAGTAGTCAACTTTTGAGATTACGAAGAAAGAATCAAAACAGAAGAATGCTTGAAATCAAGTTCCTTAATGGCTTACAAACTATTCCAGAGCAACACCTCGCTTACCTGCCTACTCTCCTTTCTCATTCTTCCCCATTTCAAATCACAATCGCTTTATCATGCTGCCAAGGGTCAGACCTTGTGTGTGACCCTGCACAGACCCACAGCAGGAGCACCTGTGAGCCCTCTCGGCAGGAGGACTGTGTCACCTGGTGCTCCACAGCTACCCACCTGGCTGCTCTGAGAAGGCCTTCTCTCTGAATGGAATGGACCGGCTTTGATTCTTCCGATTTCCAAGGTCACTGTGCCTAGGGAACACTGGGGCAGGGGTTGTTTTATGGAAATGCTTAGTTAAATGGTACAGTCAGCTCTAGGCATACATTTTACTCTCCAAGGCAGAGTTTTTAAAAGGCATTTTCCTTTGGGGATTTCCATAGCCAAAGATACCTCTAATTATTTCTGAAAACTGTCTTTTTAAACCATTAAAACGACTAAAAATAATAACAAGCAGCAGAAGACCATACCAAGTGTCTGTCGTGTGACCTCATGATTTATATGAAGACTACCGACACCACGGCAAAGAGAGATTGAGAATGGAGGAATGACGGCATGAAACGCACTGATGTAAACGAGCCCACGGAGCTGAACAAGCCAGGCTTTAAAAACCAGAAAAAAAACCATAACCCCCCACCACAAACTGTTTGAACAATTCAGATAACTGGGTAAATTCTCTACTGCCATGCTCTACCTGAATAGATTTACTATATCAAACTTAAATAAATGTAGCTATAAACACCAGACATGCACTGAAGATGATGCTCTGTAGTCCTTTCCAAATAAACCATAGGCGTCCACCCTGCTGGCTGTCTGGCATGCAAGGAGCACAAGGAGATGTTTGAGTCTGTGGGCTTTTGGAGTCAGCACTTTAAATCCAGACTATGTCATTTACCAGTCATATGACCATAAGGAATACTGAAACTTCCTGTCCATCATTCTGCTTTTTTAAGAAGTATAGAGAATTACACGTTGCTGTGATAGGTTATGCAGGTACAAGACTCAGGGCAGTGTGGAGCATGGACAGTGTTAACCTCAAAGTGCAGCACTGACAACATTACGCTGCTTCTGATGGGGGAACCAAGGACGTCTTACTGTGGATCATCTTCATCAGGAATCAAATGTCGAAAAGGTCGAAATATATCTGTAATATTCATAAGTTGGTTGTCTGATGTGGGGTATTTTGATCCAAAACTTATCAAATTCTTCTTGAATCTATTTTACTGTCAGCTCATAGAATTGCAATATGTGAATCCCTTATTCACTAAGCAATGCTATAACTCTTTATCAAGGTTTTCATAATTATAATAAATTTTAACTTAATTGTTCTATTATAAAAGAATTCATGTCATTTAAAAAAATGCTGGAAATAAAATAGAAAAAGGAAAACTAAGGACCCCATAATGATAAAGATTACTTCATAATTACTGTTAAATAAACTTACAAGATTTTATTTTACTTAGCTGTATGTAGGCTGCAAATGTATTTTTCTGTCTTGTGATCTCCATCGATTATATTTTCCCCCTTATCTATGGGGAGTATGTTCCAAGAACGTCAGTGCTTGCCTGAAACCATGGATAGTACTAAACTCTGTATCTTCCTATACATATTTATGCATGACAACGTTTAATTTATAGATTAGGCACAGTAAGAGATTAACAACAATAACTACAGAAAAATTACGACAATGTAAAGCGATGTGAATGTGATGTCTCTTTAAGAATGTTATTATTCCACTGCACTGAGGGTAACTGAAACCACAGAGAGCAGAACTGCAGATGAGCGGGAACTACTGTCTACGACCCACCTTTTCAGGTTAAAACAGTTGTCATGAACATCATTTCAAATAGGTGCATTTATGCCTATTTTTCATATTTGGCATCTACCTAAAGTTTATGCAGTTCTTGTAAACCATGTCGCTTCCAGTTTTCCTGTTATTACAACAACACTTCAATGAAATTTTTCTTTATTGAGGATTACAAGATTTTTAGATAAAGAATTACTGAGTCAAAACAACACCCAGCAGCAGCAGGAGTAACAAACCTGCAAGTTACACAAACACTTCCGGCTTTCATTATATACGGCCAAGCCGGATTTTAGATGATGGTTTAACTGGTGTTAACAGCATTTACATTGTTTCACTGATACCTTCTTTTCTCTCTTTCTGTAAATCTGAGTTATATCCATCTTACAGAGCTAACAATTGCTTTAGAACTATCTCCCAAAGAAAGCTATTCTTCCTTAAAGAATTCTAATTATGTTATGTTTTAAAGATGGATAACTCTAAGGAAGAAATAAGTTTTGATGTGTATTTTATTAATAACTACACTTACATACTCATTCATAAACAAGATCTTATCCAAACCACAGAGGTCAATAATAAGAGGATCCCTAGAAAATCCCTCCACAAAGCCCAGCCTCTGAGAGGCTCTTCAGCTGCCCGGCTCCGCCATGCAGGCTTATGTTACTATGTCCTCACGACATGTGTACTGACGATGACGACTTTCTAGGCAAAGCTGAATTACATCTCTTCAAGTCATAAAGCAATGTTAGGTAAAAACCAAAACCAAAAAAAAAAAAAAACCCACAAAGAGATAAGCATTGCCTTGCCTCATTTAAAGGAATGAAAATTCCCCTCTAGAAGCTAAAATATTTCCTGATAGGGAAGACACCTATAAGTCCTCAAAACTGTGTTTTAAATGACCAGTCTATACTTTACAATTCATTTTTAAAATGACACTGGTTCTGCCCTTCCAATCCAAAAATGATCCTTTATCGAGAGCTTTCTTTGGAGGAAATCTACTTTAGCATGTGAATTGTGCTTACGCTCAGAATTATACTAGGGATGGAGGCCTTGTCATTGGTAGAGCAGGCCCCAGTTTAGATACTGCAGGTGAAGATGCATTAAATTACCTTTCTTGCATAAGCAATGCCCTACCCAATCCTGCTTCTATTTTAATCCTGGACTTTAAATAGTTCCATAGTTTGAGTTCAAATAGGATCTGAACCAAACATACCCTTTTACGAGTCATACAGGGTCAATATTTCTGCCACATTCTTCATCTTTGGGAAAATATGAATATGTCTAATCTTGTGTGCTCAGAAAGGGGTAAAGGATGGGGCTGGGTCAGGAAAGGCCAGAAAGCATTATCCCCATAGGTGCTGTGGGCCCCCTTCTTGCTGCCTGCGTCACCCACCCGCCATGAAGCAGTTCTGCCAAGTCATTTCTCAAAGAGCACTGGTGCCAGAAATGAAAATCTTCACTTAAGCCAGATGTAATATGAATAAGCTCATAAATAAATATGAGGGAATAAAGACTGAGACTTCTGCTTTTTCTCTTTGTAGTATAAGTATATTTTTTCTTTCTTTTTTTAAAGAAAAGATACTTATAACACCTTAAAAACAAAATATTTACTCGTATTACATATATTAAGTTTACATTCTTACTAATACTAAATAAATTTATAATAAGTCATACATCATGAATTCACTGGTGAAAAATCTGTCAGTGAAACATGGTATCTTAAGTTTGATTTGAGACGACATTTCAAATAAAAAGTCAGTACTAATTTGACGATGGGAGTCCAATGTCAAGTTCTCTTTCTTCCATACTATTATCCAACAGTATTTGGGGGATTTGGTTTTTACCTTTAGCAGCGCAGCCACGGCTTCCTGGGTGGCGTTACGGACATCTTCTCCATTTACCATCAGTATCTGGTCTCCCTGCATCAGTCTTCCATCGGCATCGGCTATTCCTCCTTTGACAATGTCCGACACAAATACTCCAGTATCATTTCTGCACACAATTTTGAATTTCAATATTATTACTTTTTCCTTAATCGTTTTTATTTTTATTTATTTATTTTTCTTTAAGAGACAGAGTCACACTTTGTCGTCCTTGGTAGAGTGCTGTGGCATCACAGCTCACAGCAACCTCCAGCTCTTGGTCTTAGGTGATTCTCTTGCCTCAGCCTCCCAAGTAGCTGAGACTATAGGCACCCGTCACAACACCTGGCTATTTGTTGTTGTTGTTGTTGTTGTTGTTGCAGTTTGGCTGGAGCTGGGTTCGCACCTGCCACCCTCAGTATATGGGGCTGGCGTCCTACTCACCGAGCCACAGGTGCAACCCTTTTCCTCAATTGTAATGCAATGCTTATTTAATGAAAAGCCAGATTTTTAACCAAGTATTTTACTGCTACTTTTGTGACTTTAAAAGTTGTATGGTTTTAAGCAACACTGGGACAATTATTATTAGAATTAGATTTTTTGACAAATAATAGCTTATGCATTACAGTACTTCATTGATTGAAACAATCTATCATAAGCATATTTATTCTTCATCAACTATACACCGTGAGTAGAACTGTGTACCACTATTTTCACTTTATGGGTCACGTAGGTAGTAAGTAGCACAAGGAAGACTTAAAGAGTCACTCCTTCAATGTTAAATCTACTATTCTTTCCACACTCATAAAGAAGCTTTGAACAGATATTGACCTGAGGCTCCATAAATATTAATATGCCCCATCATCACTATCATCTTCATTACTGAAAATAAATAACAGATGGGTATTTCAAACTAAAACCATTAACTCAAAAACCTAAGTATCACTGCTGTGATATCTTTTATTTTAGATCATTACAGATCTAACTTTGATACAAGATAGATTTATGAAAATGAGCAAAAGTTAATCTTATTCCAATCCTTTCTTTCACAAAACTGTAAAAACACCAAAAAATCTTTATTGTAAAGATCCAAAGGTAACTAAAAAATAGCAATGTATAGTAAAAGGAGAATTACATCATCTGTTCTTGCCACGGTCATGACCTTAAACAAAGCATTCTACCATTTTATCCTCTGCTTTCCCATCTTTAGAATATGGATGTTGGATTAGATGGTTTTACTATGCTTGTCCCAAGGTAAACGGTTTAGGATTCATTAATGTAGGTTTTTACAGTGACCTGATAACTAACCCATGTGTTGTGTTAGGCTGGCACCCAAAATGAATTTTAAGTGTATCTTATTTCATAAGAACCACACTATTGATACTATAGGCCAAAAGGAAAGTCTAATTTTCAAGACATATTCCCACTGAGACTCTAATATGCTATAATCTTTCTGTGCATTAAAAAAAAAGCCTTTAGCTGTCTCTGATAAAACAAACTGGTGTATGTTCCTTTACTGCCGTAAGACATCACTGCAGAACCAGGTCTGCATGATGTTGATTTGGGCACTCTAAAGAATGCCTATTCCCAAAGAAAGATATTATAATACAAAGATCACAAGTTCACAGATTTTTTACTCACTGGAAAAAATAAGCTGCTTTGAAACTGTAGATGCCTGAGGCTCAAGAATAGGGCCACAGCAGATGACAGAATTTTTTAATGAATGTTGAGTTCATTTGTTTAACTATATGGTATAGTCTAAGGATCAGATCCAGATGAGCTTTCATAATAATAAAAGGAAGAGAGATTTATGGAACTTACTGAATTATATACTCTTAATATTACTTATATATACATATTTTAAGAATATTTTATGTGTAAATATTTCAATACATTGGGCATTTAAATTTATGTGTGTTCACTAAGCTTCCACCACGGCCCCTTGTTTCATGCTTTAGGTCCCCTGTTGATGATACGCTTTGCTAATGCTCATCCTTCTCCCTAGAATATCCTCCACGCCCCTTTAATAGACCAATGCTCATTTATCACTTTTAGCCTCAGGTCAGGCAGCTCTTTCCCTGGAAGTTTTCCTAACTCACTTATTTTAGGGTTACTTGATCCCCTTTCTTTTTGCTTACATGGCTTCCCCAGAGTGCATCTATCAATCATGAGATTCCTCTGTTATACAAATATATTTAATTCTTACTTCCTAGACCAGTGATTTTCAGTGGCACACTGGTATGCCATGAGAGGATCTTAGGTGTGCCTCAAAAATTATAAAGATTATTAATTTAATTATTTTCGAGAGAATTTCAAAGCACTGTAAGTATATCCTTTTTCTTACTCTTTTTTTCGATCAATATAATTCAAGTGTGTCACAGAAGTTTAACTATAGGTTAAAGTGTGCCATGAGATAAAAAAGGTTGAAAAACACTGCATGAGACTCTGAGTTTTTTGAGGTCAAGAACCACAACCTATTTCGTTTTCCAAAACCTAATTTCATTCCTAAATACAGCAGGTACACTAAACACAAAATTACCTTTTGACTTTTTGTTGAGTACCATAAAAATCCTCCAACATACTAATTTTAAAACCCCAGCACCAATGCGCTCAGTGACTGGGCTAACACCAGCCACCTGTAGAACATGAGCCACTGATAGGATCCCACTACTGCTATTACTCTTTGAAAGAATTTAAGTCCCACCATTTCCAACATATCATTAGGTTTGTGCTGCTCAGTCACACCTTTTACCAACAATGCTTAATCCCAGGCCTTTTCCTGGCTTCTTCTGCAGCTCAACGGTAAGGGTGTCACACATCTCCTCCTCTTTGTACGGGGCCTCGTCTCTGTACAGGGTCAGGCGCACTCTCTGTGGTGTCTGTCTCAGGACGTTGATGGCTTCATCATGTGTGGCCTTTCTCAAGTCAATTCCATTCACCTGCACAGAACAGGGACACTGCCTGTGAGAAACCAGTAAAGCAAAGAAAGGATAGGGGGTGGGGAGGAGGATGAGGAAAGAGAGAGAAGCAAGGAAAGAAACATGTTCCTCCCGACAGCCTTTCTCCACCAAATTTGAAGGTCAAAGACAGGCATTGTGGGGCTGCGCCTGTGGCTCAAAAGGGTAGGGCGCTGGCCCCATATGCCAGAGGTGGTGGGCTCAAACCCAGCCCGGCCCCCCTCGCCAAAAAGACTGGCATTGTGTACCTCCAAAATCTGATCTCCAGCCCAGAGTCTTCCATCTTTACATGCGGCTCCTTCTTCATACACTTCATGGATAATAATAGCACCCTAAGGGCCCAAACAAAATATACGCATTCTTACTTCATCCTCTAGGAATGGAAAGCAGAAATGGAGCCCCAATGCACCACAGTTTCATAGACAGAAATAAGGGGTATATACTCACTGGATGTACATGTAAACCACATATTATAATTTAAGAAAAACTAAAACAACACAATTTTTGCTAAAAGGCTCAAAGACACTTGAAACTTTTTTTCTAATGTAATTTTACTGAGTCAGTAGTGACTTATTCAAAGTAAAAATCCAGATACCCATTTTAATATACGTCTGACAAAATTAAAGTAACAACGAATGATACAGTTTTTTCAGCCTTTCCACTTCATGTACAGAACTGATGGAAACCTCCCTCCCGACAATGGCCTTTTGGGCCTGCTGAAGGAGGCGTGTGCAGCAGCTGAAGGGGGCGTGTGCAGCAGCTGAAGGAGGCTGCGTGTGAAAGGTGCGTGTGCAGCAGCAGCCCCTCTGGGGGATGCTCACCAGCAGCGTATCTGACCCTCCCACGATGCTCAGGCCCAGCCCTGTCCGCCCTTTGGAAATCTCGATGGTTGTTTCGCAGCCAGGGATAATGGGACAGGTTGCAGGATCAGAAGCAAAGATCGCTGGTGTGGACGATCTACTTGTACCTAAAAATGAGTTTAAAATGGAACAAAATACAAATAAAAATTGATTCAAACTCAATACCCTGGTTGTCTCTGAGGGGTGGGGCAGGGCATAGGGCTCAAGACTGGGGATAAAGGAGACCAAGTTTACCTTAATCTTTTAATTATCTTACATATGAGTATCAAACAAATATTTTTAAGCCATCATTGTGAACTCTGGGTAAAAATTACATGTTTGATTATCTTCCACACTACTCTGTATTTAAATTGCTACATATAAAGGAATAGGATATAAAGACAGGCGAACAGAGTTGAATTGACCTCTACTTTCACTTTGATATTCTATATTTTACTGGGGCCAAACACACTTCTTGTAAATTAAAGATCTGTAAAACTCAGAATGGATATATGTGACCAAGACCGAGAAGCAAATTCAGGGAAGACCACAAAACACAAAGCACTCTTAATCATTTTGGTTATGGTGCCTGCTTTTCAGAGATTTCTATGTTTTTATTTTCCTTGTCTTCTTACCATAGAACATGTGTTCTTATGTAATCAATTCTGAGCATGGATTATTTTCTCCTTCGATCTCACTTGAAGTTTTATAAACTCAGATATCATCAAGTCCTGGTGTATAGTCAGAATTGAAGAGGGAAGAACAGATCCTCAGAAAATAAGAATGATATAATTTGTGGCCTTCTTTTGTGATAGCCTTTATATCGTATCATATGCTTTATGATACAACAAAAAGCATACAGCAAATAGCATGTTTTGGGGAAGCTAGGACACTTGGTAGAGCAGCGTATGCTTTAGACAAGATGTTCTCTTTTTAGGAAATAAAAAACACTATTTTCATGCTCTCGAAATGGTAAGAACAGGTGTAAGATATTTTCTTTTATGTTTTCATTTAGCATTTCATATTTTTATAGACAATGTTATTTAGGGATTGGAGTAAAAATAAAAAATAAGAAAATTTCCATAAAATCTTAACACTTCAAGTAAATTATTCAGTCTTTCTAAATAAAGGATTACTTTCACAGATGAATTACTTTAAGACTTTTTTGTCCCAAACTAGTGTTTCCTTAAAAACTCGACAAAAGGTCAGTTAGAGACCCAAAGAAATTTTCCCTCCAGATGCAGAGAAACCCATGTGTTTAAGTAATTTTTTTTGATTATGCGGAGCTTGGAATTTATTGTTTCATTACACACAAGTAAAGTGTCATCCCACAGTCCATCTGCACATATACATCCATTTCATCTATTTTGACAGGATACAAAGTAAGAATTCAACTCTACAATGTATACCATGGCAACGACTAGCATTTTAAAGTGTTCTTTGTAGTGGTGGATGGTGCTGATCCTACCTGTGAAATAGGGTCATTGCATCTCCACTGCACAGATAAGAAAGCTGTGGCTAAGAGAAATTGTTTACTTTCTTAGTATAAAACAAGTTGTTTGTTTTCTTAGCATAAAACAAGTTGTTTACAAGATGATATTTCTAATTCATTAATTAGATACCTAGAATCACAGGTATCCTCAGCAAAGTTTTCTTTGGAGAACAGTGAGTATCAGTTCATCATTTTAGAAGTAAAAAAGCTGAGGCTTGGAGAAAGCAGGATGGGTTTCCTAAGAATCCATGGCTGGTTAATGCATAGCACACAATCGCCTACCTGCCAGGAGCCCCACTCATTATAGCGTACTCTCACCAGAGGGCTCCCTGAGGACCTTCCAGCCCTACGCCAGGCTGGCTGCTGTGTGCTCTCTGTACAGGACTCTCAAGAGCCCAGCCCTTACTTCGGATGGTCTCTGGTTCCGGGGAGGCGGACTGTGGGACCACTGGAGACTGGGAGCTGTTCTTTTTTTCTCCATTGGCTGCACCAGGCCCTGAAGTACCAGCATGGGAATCTGGGTTCTCGGCATGAATGGTAAGTTTGACTGTCGTCTTTGCTGTCTTCAATAGACTAATAAACTGGCAGGGTGTTGGTGTGGAAGAGAAATAAAATTCAAAGGCCAATTAGTAGGCTTATTCCAATAAGTCACCATTATTGCTGGAATCTAACTTTATTTATAGTTGGGAGAAGAGACTGAAGCAAATGATTTCCTTCTTTGGATCTGACGGGCAAAGAAAGAAATGACTGTAGCTTGCCGGAACGCCTGGGTAGAGATTAGGCCACGGCCAGAATTCTATTGGAAGTTTCATTTTGCCCAGATTCTTCCTCATGTAAGTATAGGGCTTTCAACTTTTTATATCTCTAATTAATTTTATTCATTTTTCTGGATCTCTACAACCTTAAAACGATACAAGGGCCATCTAGAAATTCTGCAGCCCTCTTAAATGGTATATTTTATCCATATCTTCATTCTACAGAGAATCTGAACCAACTTATACAAACACTTTTAATAAAATAGACATATATATGTTAAAAGCAGAGGAAGAAAACCATGCAACAGGAGAATCAAGGCAAATGTAAAGTTAAAATACATATATATAACATGAAATTATTAACTTTTTTTTTTTTTTTTGCAGTTTTTGGCCAGGGCTGGGTTTGAACCCACCACCTCCGGCATATGGGGCTGGCACCCTACTCCTTTGAGCCACAGGTGCCACCCTTAAAACTGAATTTTTAAAAATAGCTTTAAGCTCCTTGCTGGTTTGTTTCTTCCTCACTATAAGAAACAAAAAGAATATTACAATTCAGGGAAAATAAAGGTTTTTCTGGCACTTACATGTGAAAGGCCTGAAGTGACACTCCAAATAAGTATTATGATCTCTTTTGAGGAGAAGAAATTTAGGAACAAGAACTGTTTAACCCCAATAAGTTATGCACTTAACACTTGAATGGTAAATCTGTTTATAAAGCAGTATAATGGATATTTACACGAACAAACATTAATTAGAAAGAATTCCTATGTCGTAACACTAAGTTAGTCATTGTAAGGGATTTTTCCCAAGGGAAAACTGAAATGACCTTTATCAAAAATGCCCAGCGATTACCTTCCAGGCAATAGAAACTATCTTAACATCATCTTGCCTGGCAAGTGGCAACTGAAGAACTAACTGATCTCTTCTTTTCCTCAGGAATATGTCTAATATTGCTTCATAGTCCTAATTCCCTATGACCACACACACAAACACTTTAGCCATGCTCAAAGATGGGTTTATATTACTATTTATTTTTCAAAAGTACCTTTTCAACAGGATAGCCAACAACAATTTCATCATCTACAGCCAAGATCTGATCTCCAACTTTCAGGCGTCCATCCTAAGTGGAAACGTGAAAGATTTCATGTGATCTTCCAGAAGTCATCCCCTCCGCCACCATTTTATGACAGTGAGAAGGTGAAAGCCTCACCTTGGCAGCCACGCCGTGCTCTGTCAGACTCTTTATGACAACTCCCCTGAGCGTGTCTTCTTCACTGATAGCAATGCCCAAACCCCCTTGATCCTAGAAAAGTAAGAGGAAGAACACTTAGAAGACCCAGACTGCTTTTATTCAAACAGACACCCAAGGGCTATAAAAGTAATTAAAACTCCCTGAAAGTCCACTGTCAGAAATCTCTTTCTTAAAGTACACTTTCAAATTGTTATAACTTTTTCCCCATCAAATATTCCAGTGTTTTTACTCCTCCCATATGTGTGATATCTTTAGTAGCTCTAATAGAAAATCCAAAAAGCAAGGATGCATTCAATAATTTAATCAAAACATTCAGCATTCACGAATTTAATCTTGGATAACTGGGTGACTGAACAAGTCATCCAGAAACAACCCAAGAATCCTCCTGCCTCTCCTTTCTTCCTAGACTAGCTTAGAACTAACAGGCAGGTCTGCCCCCTTCATTCTTTTCTGCCACCTTTTTTCCTTAGCAGGAAGACTGCAATTAGCTTTGCTTGTGATGTCCTTTCTGGGGCTGACTACTCAAGAGTTGTTTCTGAGAGAATAGCATTTGGATGTACTGCACAGTGAAAACCCTTCCAAGCCTCAAGACACACAATGAGAACTTGCCAACGCTGGGGAGCTACACCTACTTTGTCCATGTTTTCCAAATTTTCTTTCATCAAAACCAAATGTGCAGTAATACTGGACTTTATCTTTCTTTAACATTTACTTTAGCAAAATTAAAATAGAGCTTTAAACATTTTCATTCTGGCCAGAGCTAGTAATCTTTTTCATTATGCTTTTTGTCCTTGGAGAAGTTGTAAAATACAAAAAAAGAGAAAAGGGTTATCTTGCCATGGTTGCTCCAAAATACCCCATATACATACAAGAGCCATCTCGCTATAAGAGACACCGATGGTCATGATGTGACATCGAGGTTTAGGTGTCACCATCATTTTAAAGATTATCACCATGGTGGCTTTTCCAAGGTAGATTATTAATACCTGATGAGTTTCAGACTGTCACTGAGCCTCTCTCTGTCCCCTCTCTCATTGCAGTCATATGTAACAGCCAGAGAAAACTGCACCTTTAGAGTGATCAGAACTGAGCTTACACTCTACCTAGCTATAGAAATTTGGATATGCCACTTAACATCTCAAAACCTCAATTTTCTTACCTTCAAAAAACCTAAATGCTCTTTATTTAAAGAAATTGAATAATAATAATAATATCTGTCACATAACAGTCAGGAGAGAACTTTATTGGTACAGTGGCATTTGCTATTTACCTAACACCCCAGCCCTTTGTAAAAGCTGGGAGATTTCTGCAAGAATACCCACCCTGCCTCCTCTGCTTCCCCTAACAACTCTCTCCACTTTCCTCCTCCCCTCAGAGCTCTCTTTCTCCACATTTCAGGATGTTTCTGCTCACAATATGAGCAGAAACCCTTTGATACATTTGCCTTCATTTTACATTTTTGAAATGGGGAAGTAGAAGTATAAACTTATTTTTAAGAAGAGAAGCAAGAATATGGGTTAGACTTAGTAGCTTAATTCTAACCAATAAGGCAAAAGCTATCACAGAGTCCAACTTGCAGTCCATGGACTGCACGCAGATATCTGAGGAATGTTTTACTTGTCAGTTATAGCAAAAAGTACGTACACACCTTTTCTTTCGCTCATTAGCTTTGTTAGTGTTCGTGTATTTACTGTGCGGCCCAAGACAACTCTTATTCCTCCAATGTGTACCAGAAAAGAAAAAAAGGTTGGGCACCCCTGGTTCACAGCTGAGTCAAAAAAGGAAACAGGGCTTTTTTCTTGCTGTTCCTCTTGGACCATTCACCCTGCCGGAAGTCAGCTGCTATTTGTCATGGGGCCACTCAGGCTGCCCCAGGAAGAGGAAATAAGAACTCTTGGCAACAGCTACTTAAGTAAATAATCTTAGAAGCAATTTCTAGCCCCAGTCAAATCTTCAGATGACTACAACCCTAACCACTAATGTGTCAAAGGAGATTTTGAGCCAGACCATCCAGATGAACTGTGCTGAAATTCTGGACCCTCAGGAACTATGAGACAATCAATGCCCCCTGTTTTAAGTTGCTAAGTTTGTGCTAATTTGTTGATAGCAAAAGACAAGTAGCTGAACAATGGAGTTTGAACAACTTAAAATCTACAATTCTAGTCTCATGGCCGGAATCCCTGGCTCAAGAGTAGGAATGTGATCTGAACTGATTCAATGAGGACGCATTTTGGAACTTGTGCTCAGAATGTATGAACATCTGTTCTCTCCCTCTCCCCCCAGCTATATGTAAACGAAGTAGCACATGGCCCCAACTATACTGGCAGCCATTCTAAAACAATGAAGAAGCTAAGCCTTGAGATGGCACAGTGTCACAGAGAGTGGGAAAGAACTGGCTCCTGGTGACACTGCTGAGGCTCAGAATCAATGCTCTTGAAGGTTGCTGGCCTGAGTCCACACATCCTCCTCTTTGATCGAGTCTGATGGAGCTGGCTTTTTTTGTTGTTGGTATTAACTTTCAGCAAGTAAAGTCCTAAAAGGAACAACGAGCTATACCTCTGAATATATAGTATGTCCCAACCCCACTTAGAATACAACAAAAATAAATAAGTATACAAACATCTATAATTTGCTAATATCAGAAGAGCTGGATGATATGTAAGACAGACAACAGGGTGTGAGTATACCATTCCTTATCTAACTTCTTAATCATGCACTTTACTTCTGCCTACTATATATAGTCTTAGAAGGAAAAGATCTGAGAAACATTGTTCTGTGCTAATTATTAAAATACTGGAGGGAATGTGAAACAAATCCAGGAAATATATTTTTGGAGAAAGAGTTGTATAATTGAACAGCTAGAGAAGAGTAAATAAGAATTAAAAGTGGGATTAAGCCAAATACACTATTATTAACTATTAGGAGAACTACAGTGAAGGTAGAAGATTACCTAAAATTAAAAAGGACAGTTCTTAAATGCATTTGAAAGTTTTCACCACATACAGTTGTATGGCTGTGAAAGTGACCTCTGACAATCATAGAGGGTTGTTACCTGCTTTGATGAATAGGTATTTCCCCAAGGTGGCCTGTGCTAAAAATACATCTTTTATAAAAAAATGTTTTCTGATAAATGAAATTAATATTTTAGTCAGCTGGAGAATAGATTATATACATCAGAACTTTGTGTTTATACTTCTACTTTCCCATTTTAAAAATGTAAAAGATTCGGGGTGGCGCCTGTGGCTCAAAAGGGTAGGGCGCCAGCCCCATATGCTGGAGGTGGCAGGTTCAAACCGAACCCCAGCCCCCCCACCAAAATGTAAAAGATTAAACAGGAAAAGGATAATGGAGTTTTCAAGAGCATTTCTAAGGAGACAAAACAGAACTAGCAATGACCTTGTCTTCAGGCTCCCATTTGGAGACATTGTGACAAGTATTCTCCCTTCCAGCCTCTCCTGGAAGAGTCTCCTCCCTCCTGCACGCACTCATGGAAGTATTTACTCATTCTTCCTTCCCAGATACTCAGTATGAGGCCTCTCCTGGAAGAGTCTCCTCCCTCCTGCACGCACTCATGGAAGTATTTACTCATTCTTCCCTCCCAGATACTGACTCAGTATGAGCCATGTGTACTACACAGCCTAATATGGTAGGACAGAAAGGATAAAAGTTTCCTTTCTCAACATGTCTGCATTTTACACGTATAAAAAGATACTCATGTGAAAATTAACAATAACAGACATACTCTTGGGCCAAACAGGGTTAAGTGAAACGTAAACGAAGACACTGACAGTAACATTATATATGTCAAAATACTGTGGGAATATATCAAAATAAACAGATGAGATTTAAGTCGGTCTTTAGTATAGGTTAAGATTTAGTAAGCTAAAAGAAAGCACAAATAATATCCAAGTAATACAAGCAAAGGAAAGAAGGGATAAATTTCTCAAAACATTCTCTATGGGATTTTGATTCAAGTTAGTTTGACTGAAGTAGAAAAACATGCAGAGGTTTTAAAAAAATTAGATGGGGGCCCAGACGCAAACCAAACCAAGGAGAGATGGGGCTTGGGGGCAGAAAACTATAGTTGAAGTTCTAGCTCTACTATTTGTAGTTATGGGAACAGGTAAACATGAGAAAAATAATAGCCCATCTCTCAGGGGTGCTGAGAAGTAAGCAGCATAATGAACAAATGTGATGTTACCATCAAATTATTCTTTCAAATAACAAATCATAATATAAAATACAAAACAGTATAAATGACAAAGTATTTCAAATGAGCATTTGGTTAATACTCCCTTCTTTGTTTAATTGAGTTTTACTCCCCAATCCATCTTATAATGGGGTTAAAAGTATATAGGCTTAGTGGGGCCTGTCACTTAACATCATTCTTAACAAAGAATTCCTCAAGGAATGTTTTCAAATACACATTCTATAGGTAACTCAACCTCATGGCTAATAATAATGAAAATAACTATAATAACTTGTACTGTGATAAGTGCTTTATATAAGTTCTGTAATCATTACAATAGTATCTCTAATGTGATGGTACTATTGTCCCCATTCTATAGATGAGGAACGTGAAGCCCACAGAGTTAAAGGGTATAGGAAAGCAGCCTGTGGCGTGGCAAGAGTGACAGCATCTTGACACGAAACAGCCATGGTGATTGATATTTGACTCCTGCATACCAAGGAATTCTGCAGCAAGGTCTCTAAACAACGCCTGTAGTGATACCTTGGAATTCAAACTTAATTTGTTCTAGAACCCCATTCAAGTTTCAAGATAATTTTTCCCCTTTAAAATAAGAGAAACTGGATTAATCCATTCCTGGGTCCCACAAACTCGAATTTTCAAAATGATTTTAACAGTAAATACACTGGATTTTACATACTCAGCCCTACTATGAAACCAATTTATAAGCACCCACACTTCCATATGAATGCCATAACCCAATTACAGCCCAAGGTGGAGGAGAAAGATGAGGGGGGAGGGGAGAGCAGGAGGAGGATGGATGGAGGGAGGGTTATTGGTGGGACCACACCTATGGTGCATTTTACAAGGGTACATGTTAAATCTACTAAGTGTAGAATATAAATGTCTTAACACAATAACTAAGAAAATGCCCTGAAGGTTATATGAACCAGTTTGATGAAAGTATTTCAAATTGTATATATAACCATCACATTGGGGCAGTACCTGTGGCTCAAAGGAGTAGGGTGCCAACCCCATATGCTGGAGGTGGTGTGTTCAACCCAGCCCCGGCCAAAAAAAAAAAGCCAAAAAAACCCCCAAAACATCACATTGTACCCCATAATTGCATTAATGTACACAGCTATGATTTAATTTAAAAATAAAATATTAACAAATATTTTAATAAAAATGATAATTAATAAAATTAAAAATATAAAGGCCTGTTTCATCAAAATTGAACACTTATTTCAAAACACACCCCTCACTGTTCACAAACTCCTTTACAAACTTTTCTGCTGCTTCTGAATTAGAACTGGCAGCCTCTCTGTCCATAATGCTATGGATTCCGGCCCTTTTCTTCAAGTTCTCAAACAACCTCCTACTGGCTTTAAAGCCCTTCTTTTGAGCACTAGTGTCAGGCATGCCTTTCACTAAATCATCAAAGGACCTGGCTTTCTCACAAATCATCATCTCAGAAATCACATCATCAGCTAGTTGTTTTTCATGAATCCAAACTAAGAGAAGTTTTTCCAACTCTTCCATACTTTTTGATCTCCTGGAGGTCAACGCCCTAACCCCTTTTGCCACATCAGCTACGTTGACAGCTTCTTTATTTTTCAAAATCATACACACAGTGATTTAGGCATCCGGAACACAGCAGTGAGATCAGCCACACGTGTACCACTTTCACGCTTAGCGATAAGATCTTTCTTCACTTCGATGGTAGCTCTCACAGCTTTCCTCTGACTCTGATTTTCCTCATTATGCTTTTTAGGACTCATGACAAAGACACTTAGTTGTGGTTATAGAAAAAAAAAAAAAAAAAAAACAGGCACAAGAGCATAAAATTAGCAGTGAAAATCACCCCAGATGCTTTCGCTACAGCTTCTGACAATGAACTGAAGGACACAGTGTAGGGTGGCCCAGAGCTGGGGAAACGTGTGCACAAAAGCACATCAGCAACCTGCTGAGCATCCACATTCCAAAGCAGCATTCGGATTTCGCACAAAATTTGCTTGCATTTTTCACTCAGATTCCAAGTTGTTCTGGGAGAGAATACTCAGAAAAAGTGAAGTGTGAAAGAACAAAAAGCTTCCTGTGGTAACTCAGCTCTGAGGAATTTATAGAAACTTAACTTCCTGGGACCCTGAACTAACTCTTGCTTCTGCTTCTGTAAAAGCCTGAGCCTGCCTTCTCCGGCTCGGTTCAAACCGGCCAGTGAGAACGGTACTTATGGACAAGGAACCCTTGGCTGGAGATAAAAGAAAAAGGACAGAGCCAGCCAGAGAGCTCGGCCAGTTTTGGACTGTAGTCCATCTGGGCTCCAACGGCTGAAATAAAGCCCTTCCTCTTTTAAACAAGGATGTTCAGGTGTTTCTTACTCTCCAGGGGGCCTTATTTTCCTGCAATAGTTTGAGTTCTGGGGTGTTCGGATTCCAGGGGCAATACTGTGTAACCACTGATAAAGATGTTTATCAAACTTCCCCACAGTCCTGAGGTTCACAAAGAAAGTGTTTACCCCAAAAGCTTGCTGTGTGAAGGATATCTTCAGTGGGTGGATGCAGGGATCTACTGCCTCCTGGTCACCCAGGACATCACTTTCATATATAAGTCTCTATTAAGTAGTACTTTCTGAGAAGCTAAATTTGTGAGCCTCTTTCTTTGGCTTGAAGGGTAGGCTTGCATATACCTGATAACAGTGGAACAGATAGCTTGTCTATAGCCCAGAGAAGTTAAATGACTCTAAAAGCCCACACTTCAAAGCATTAAAACCAAGCTTAATTGCCTCTTCTTGTCCAGCTAATTTTAAAATGAATATTCCCCTTACTTTGACTTTCATCAATAAATACAATCCAGTTACCTAATCTTTAGATTTGTTTGAAATCTACATATAAATGGAAGCTTTGGGTGGATAATACATTGGAGCTTTCTAAGGTCTTAGGTTCCTGATAACAACTTCCTTAGAAAAGGAAAGTGCACAATAGACATCCACTGACTAACGCAAAAAGGAGGCTCAAAGCAGAGACCAGCTTTAATATTATAGTGAAGGAACCTTCTTCATTAGCTCGTCCAATCACAGCCACAATCCTTTGATATAAGCAGCCACATTTACAGAGAAGAAAGTGAGGGTCAGCAGGATTAAGTCCTTCATAGGCATTCACACAGGATGGGAGAAGGGCTCCTGGGACACAGAAAAGGCTCCTAAATTCCATGCCAAAGAAGCTGAATGTATCTGTTTGACAAAGAAAGTCTTTGAAAGGTTCTGCGTAGGGAATTAAGACACATGAACAACTATCAAGCACCTCAATGAGGTAGCCTGAAGTATGAAGAGAAAGGATCAGAGAAAAAAAACTGAGACAAGCAGTCAGACAACTCTTTGTCAGCTTATTCGATCCTCCCTATTATGATGTACAGGTGGACATAAGGTTTGTGTGCAACTTAAATTAGTTTAACTTAATAAAACTGCACACGAACCTCATGTCCACCCTGTACATATGCTAGGTACTGAACGCTCATACATGAATTTAATTTTCTCTCTCTATACTTAATTTCTCGCTACAACTCTATGTCAGTACAATTATTACGCTCAGTTTGGAGAGAAGAAACTATGTACAGACTAAAAAACATAGCCAAGGTCATAGTCAGACAGCCAGTAAGTGGCAAATCCAAGTCCCTGACCCATGTGCTCTGGCTCTGTGCTCTCGGCCACAACAGGATTCTGCTCCTTATTTATCTACAAGTTCAATCCACCAACATTTTGGAGGCACTCATTATATCCTAGCATGTACTAATCCTTAGGTGAATAAATGAGAATCAACACTACAAAAGGAAATATGTAAAACAATTATCTTATTTAGGACTTTCCTAAAGATAAGCATAAACTGGGATTTAAAAGAAATTATTCATTATAAAGTATTCAGCATACATTTCAATGTTTCATAATGAACAAATTATAGAGGAATTACTGTGCTGTTAAATACTGTCAATCCTGCCTATGGGATTTAGGAGAAAATAGAACGTACGACCTGAAATTAGGACGGAAAAGGGAAGATATTCTCTGTTCTAAATGGCAACAGAATGACAGATCATGCCATGGAAGCGTATTGAGTTCTTGACAGAAATGGCAAACGCTTGAATGACATCTGTTCTTTTCTATCTACAACAAAAATAGCTCATAATAAGGACGTCTCTAACCTGTATTTTCTAAGATGAGAGCAATCCATTTTTGTATAGGGTTATCTATGATAAAAAAGAAACCAAAACAAGATAGTCAGGGTATTATTCTTTTTCCCTGAATACTTAACAGGGTATTCCATAGGCCAGAAATTATGCTATTTTAAAAGCAACTTAAGTCATCTTTACAATTACCTAAGATAAAAGTACTATCATAATCTCAAATATACAGATGAAGAATCCCAAGTAAACAAAGTTCATACAATGTACCAAGGTTGTTCCTGAGAAAGCAAGGATTCAACTCAGACAGAAGGACCCTGAGCTGTACTGCTCGTGACTGGAAAGTGGTACGTGGATCACTCTGCTTCCTTCCATCTATAGCACTTCCTGCAAATATCCCCCCATACTCACCCACCTCCCTCTTCCTTCCTCTCTGTCCTGAGCACTTCACCGCTCTTTCTGCTTAGACTCTTGTTCACCCACTGTCCACCTGCTTTCCATCAGGAGCCTGAAGTGCCTGATAGCATTTATAGGTTTCTGTTCAGCAAATTGATCTTTTAAATATAAAGATTAGGTCTTTCTCAAGCAAATCCCTCACTGATGCCTATCGGCAGAACATCTAGTTATATGAGCTTTGATTTTTATAAAGGACAAATACTATAACTTCTATTTCTTTAGTTTCATTTCCTCCATAGCAGGACCTCGATAAATGAACCAAGGAGAGATGTCTAAATGTTATACCTTGGAATAACCATAGCAGGAAAAGCTAGGCCCCTGCTAAAGTATCATTTAGTACAGGGTTTCTCAAACTTACGTGTGCTCTAGAATTACCAGGAAGGCTTATTAAAACACACACTTCTGAGCCTGCCCTTGGGGTCTCTCATTCACCAGGTAAGGCTGGGTGAGTCTAAGTGTCTGGCTTCTAATAAGGTCTCAGGTGGTACTGACGCTGCTCATCTGGAGACCACACTTCTGAAACCAGGGAATCGTACACTGGTGTGAAGGTGCACACATCACTTTACTCCCCTTTACAGCACATCTACCTTGGGAAGCTCAAGATGTTGTACATTTTTAAATGAACTGAGGTCCACCGCGGCGCCAGAAGTAGTGAAACTTGGTTCCATCTGATAAAGAGAAAGGAAAGGCAAATAAGGCAACTGAGTATTAGGTATTTTTGTTTGTTTAAATATAATGGTCACTTAAAATTATTTCATACATTATAATTCATTATTACTATTTTAACATTTATGGAATATATGCATACTACATCCTCTTCAAAATACATGAGAGACGTGACTAGGCAACGATCATTTGAGAGCACAGAGAGACCAAAAGGCTCTGAAGATGGCCTGGATCTGCTCTGTGATGAAATTGGATGGCAACCCAGCTCCTAAGCACTGAAACTCGAAGCAGAGCACTAGCAGAGATGCCTTTCATTATTCTGTACTGTGTTAGTTACCAAGTAAATTAGCAATTATGAAATGTATTACCTGAACGTTATTGAAATACTCCATTTCCTTAAGGGATACATTTCATAGAAAATAAAATAGTATGAAAATAAAATTTTCCCGTTTATAACCTAGCCATCTTGAATAACCACCTGACTCAGTCCACCATCAGGAGCTGTTAGGGGACAACGATGTGTGCACCCATCTTATGTGTAAAAAGTGTTTGTGTTTATTTATATATTCACTTAGGGAAGACTGTTTCTATTCCTACACCTTCCCTCACTGACAAACTCCATTGCTCCTCTAATTTCAATCTTTTCTTTCTCAACTACCTCCTTTTATTCACCTACACATGGAACCAAAGCTTTTCCAAATCAAGACAAAACTCCCACCACAAATTCTGTTAGTTCTTTGCCACTTTCTAACCACTGCCCTCTCCTTAACTTCTTTTCAATCACTTCTTTTCTGAAAAACTACTGAATAATCTCCTATTGCCAAATCCAGGGGACTCCCTTTAGTCACCGTTTACTGGACCTATTTGCAGCATTTAGCACCTTCCTTCCTCAAACCATCTCCTGGTTCTTCTTCATTCCCCCGACTCCTCTTTGTGAGCCTTCCTCTCTCCTGGTGATGGTCCATGGTTCTGCCCTTGGCCCTCTTCTCTCTGAACACTTCCCGTTGGCAAGCACCCATTGGTTAGCTCCCATGGCTAACAAATACCTAATCCACACCTCTGGGAATTCATGTCCAAGCTTAGTGTTTCTCCCCCCCCTTTTTTTTTTATCTCTTGGCACACTTGAACCAATAGTTAAACTACCACAGCACACTTAAATTTTGTTGATAAAAAAAAGAGTAAGAGAAAGAATATACTTAATGTGCTTTGAACATCTTTTGAAAATAATTTAATTAATACATTTAAAAAATTTTTGTGGCAGACCTAAGAACCGCTCACGGCACACCAGTGGGCCAAGGCACACTGGTTTAAAATCACTGTTGTATACCAAATGTACAGAACGCATATGTCTACCAGCCTTTCCAACAGGCACTTCACTCATAAGCTGCCTCAAATAGAATGTCTTATATTTTTGCAAATATCTACTCCTCCTTTTTGTCTTTTTTATTTTGGTAAGACAACTATCTACCATGTCACTAAGTGAAGTGCCTGAAAATCTTATACATCCTGTCTGTTTAATTCCCAGTATATCCTTAGCCCAAACAATAGTACACAGTACAAGGCAGATTACTCCGGAAATATTTATTGGCTAAATAAATTCTCAACCACTCAATAGAATATATTATATTTTTGCAAATATCTACTCTTCTTTTTTGTCTTTTTCTTCAACATATACATTTATTCTACATATTTTTCTTCAACGAGGACATTTAATTGGGGATGAAGCACTATCGCTTTAAATTCTAAACATCTAACATAACTAACTAGCCTCTCATGCCTTAGTTCAGGCCCTCATTGTCTTTATCTTGAATTATTCCAATAATTTTCTTATTCCCACTATCTTAACTTCTTTCCCCACTATCTCTGATTTTCTCTGTACAACTGCTGGAGAAGTTTTTAACAATGCAATTCCTGTTCTTTGGGCTCCAGTCTGCCTCAAAGAGAAAGTCAGGACATGTTAGTCTATTAATGTTTCCCATGACCTGGCCCTCGTCCCTTCCCCAGAGACTTTTCTCAGGAGCCTTCCTTCTTTGCCTCCCGTGTTCAGGAAAGCTCTGCAATTTTCAGTTCCCTACACTGGCCAGAGTATCTATGCCAAGTCCATGAGGGTCGTGTTTTAGCCGTAAATCCCCCAGTAGATACTTCTATATGTGTAATGTCTTTGACAAGTGTTATTGTCACTCTCTCCAGAGGCAGAACTGATAACTCCTTTTCTGCCCTCGCTGCATCCTATGCAGAATCCAAGTAGCCCTCATGGATTTGGCAAGCTTATTTATACGAGTGACTTTTTGTACTAGGCTATAAATTCCTTGAGGGCCAACATCATAACTTATATACCTTTGATATACCTATAAGTATTCTGCATTTGGTAACTGAATTAGTAAGGGGTATACCTATCAAATCTTTCCAGAGAAACGAACAAAATTCACATATACCTCCTTATTTGGAAGATTCGCTGAGGTAGAAGGCAAAGGTTCTACTGTATTTCCAGGACATACAGCCATTTGACTTACTGCATCTTTATTTCTAAAAGGAAAAAAGCATCAACCTATCATATCATAATTATATGATTTTCATTTTCCTATTTAAAGGGTCAGGAACAAGGGAGAAGGGGGGGAGGGAGAAGGGAGGGGGAATGGGTGGAGGGAGGAGGATTGGAGGGATCACTTCTGAAGTTTATCTTACAGGGGTACAAGTGAATCTAAGAGTAGAATGTGAACGTTTTAAAACAATAACTGAGAAAATGGCATGAAGGCTGTGTTAACCAGTTTGATGGAAGTATTTCAGATTGCATGTGAAAACCCCACACCGTACCCCAGAAGTGCATTAATATACACAGTTACCATTCAATAAAAAAAAAAAAAAGTCAGGAACATTATTAGAGAAAATTCTCTTAACTTCCCCAAATCTAGAACTGCAGCACTTACATATTTATAAATGCTTTGATTTCATTCAAAAGAACAGAGAGTACAAATGCCAACCAATATTTGGTTAACCAGCAAAAGAAAATGCTCACCTGATAAAAATTATTTTTACTTTAGAAGGGGCACATTTAATAATCGATGAAGCATTCTGATGACTTCTTCCATATAAAATCTGACCATTGATCTGTGAGAAATGAGTATGTTATTTGAGCCTGAAATTATAATTTCACAATTAACATCCTGTCTAGCTAATGAAAAACACATTTTTTTTCTTCTTCTAAAATATCACACGTATTTTTATCCCCAGAGCATGAACCTGACTTCTCATAGTAAATTTAAAGAGCTCATATTTATAGCCAACATTAAAGGGTGCACAAAGTCTAATATCCACAAACTGGGGGCAAAGAGGCACGATGTGGGCCAACTGTAAGAGAGCAGACAGCAACCCCCCAGGCAGGCATGGTGCTTCCAGCACACTCTGTACAAAGTAGGGCTCTGTGGAAACACCTGGGACCTGCCATGGCCGTCCTGGGGAAGTCCCCAACTGTCATATTTCCCAATAGTCTCAAAACTCAAGGCCTAGAAATAGGCCACTGGGAGAAATGATACTGAGCAGATTCAGGACTAAGGCAAAAGACTGTTTCAACAGCACAGTGCCCAGTGCAAACTGCCAGGTCAGTCATCTAGTTATTCTGCCTTCACTGGCTGAGCCTCCTGAGCCTGTACAGAAACATGCTTGACGTGGGGAAGAGTGTAAAGGTAATATAAAAACACATGGATCCCAGCCTACAGGGAGCAAGGACAAATACTACAACCAAATAAAATTCTCAACAGTATAAAGTATGGTCTGCAAATTTCCTCTGCGTGGTAGGCTGAATTTTAGCCTTAATCTTGACCCCACACCAGCTCTTCACTTTGCTTCTATCCCTTTGTCCATTAGTGATTCTACTTCCAGTATCTCAGCCTCATTACTGGGGAATGACTGGTCACTTGGCTTTTCAAAAACTCCTAACAAAAAATGCAGCAGACAAAATAAAGGTTTTTGAAGTGTGATCCTTATGACTGTCTCGGAGCAAAAGTTGTTTCTGGTGCTACATAATCAGGACCTTTGAATGGAACTTAATGGGAACATGGGGTCTCCTTAGCAGAGATTTGGTCTAGAGCCAGATTTGTTGCAAAGCATTTATTTTATTAGGCAAGCAATAGTTTTTTCAGTCACCAGATGAGGTCTGGGTTATTTTCTAGAAACTCATTATTCTACGTCACTGAAACAGAAAGAGTAAATTCAAAATCTGCCACAAGAACTTACCTCTAGAAGCTCATCTGCAATTTGCAACCGCCCATCCTTTCCTGCTGCTCCATTTGGATCAATTCCCACGATAAAGACACTCATCCTGGATCGGTCTTTGTTCCCAGCGAGACTTAGACCCAAACCACTACGGCCTTTCTCCAGTTCAATCATATGTAGCTCACCTGTTAGGGTTCCATAACGCTCTCGGATATTTTCTACAAACAACAACAGAAAATACATATGTTTAAGGTGAATTCATAGGCAAACGCTCTACTATGGAAGGCTATTTAGTTCTATCTCTATAAGGGGCATTATTTCTATCAAAATGTAATCTTTGCCAGTTAAAATCTAAATAGACTGCGCATCCTTCCATTGACCCTTATTTCTTGGAATATATTCAAACTTTGAGGAATTTCTTTGCATCCAGGATATAGAAAGCATGGTGTCTGATTAATCAGTTCACCTTGAGGTGACAGGCCCAGGAGAAGTAATTCATGTTTATAAACTCTCAAAGGCTGTGATTAAACCAGAAACTAATGTTATCATTGGCAGAGGAGAGCAGAACTAAGGCGTCCAGAATATTTGTGTTCACTGATCAGCGGGAACTTTTCTCCTGTAGGAAAATCTACACTCTATATCTCAGGATGTTGGGCAGCTGCTGCTACACACTTCCAGAATGAAGATGGGTTTTCTTGTTGCACAGAACCAGAAGGATAGGACAAATTGATGTACCTGTCCCACTTCTGGGACACATGTCCTAAATAGATGAGACAGACCATTTATATCTCTCACCCCACATTTTAAAAAAGGTGAAGGTTCTTGTATACCCCTTTTCAATTTAAGAGAGGCAAGGCCTCAGATGAGTGGTTGGCCAGCAGCCAGTACTACCCCCTGGCCAAGGGAGTGAGCCATCTTGGAAGTCCAGCCCACCACTGTAGCTTGAAAGACTGATAATAAATTGTTTTAAGCCATTAAGTTTTGGGATGGCACAATAATAGAAAAAGCCTGACACATTCCAGTTCACTTTTTCCTTGGGGTACATTCTGGCCACCTTGACTAGATTAGCAGTATACTGAGAAAATCGCAAACTTTACAACTCCTCTCTCAGGAAATGTTACCATCTGACTAATGCCATACATTTTACATGGACACTAACAGTTTCAGTTTCATAAACTGACATCTCCTGAATCCCAGAATCTAGCAGTATGACTTTTATACCCTGTACTTTTAAAAAGCATGTATTGTAGCATTTTTTTCCTTTTTGAAGTATCTCCAAAAGAAGTATCATGATGTCAAACTGGATCATAACAACCTCAGACTCCTATATTCAAGCCATCCTCCGGCCTCAGCCTCCCAAGTAGCTGGAACGACTGGCTAATTTTTCTATTATTTTTTAGTAGAGACAGGGCCTCACTCTTTCTTAGGCTGGTCTTGAACTCCTGAGTTTAAGCTATCCTCTTGCCTCAGATCTTCCAGAGTGCTAGGATTACATGCGTGAGCCAAGGCGCCTGGCATACTGTAGTATTCTTTATGGAAATATTTAATTTTTAAAAATAATTTTTTAAACAATGAGATTTATAACTTGCCACTAACTTTTTAATATTTCCCTACAAAATGGTATTTTTCCATAGAAAACAGAGATACCCCATTCATCCTATTAACAGCTGACTTTGAACGATTTCTGTGCAGTAGGCATTGTGCCTAACAGTCCTAGGAAGTTATCTAATTTAATGTTAGCAACTTGAGGGAAGAATTACAAATTAAAAAGAGAGAGAACCACTGGGCTAAAACTTAGAAGCAATTAAACAACTTAGCAAATGCCTAAAGATTTGATTCCCACATTATCTTATGTTAACATCCTAGTACTTAAAATACCAGAAGTTCAAGGTGTGATATCAACAACAAACAGATTTTACAATAAAGAACCTGAAGCCCAGAAAGGATTGTTCAGGATCACAGGGTGGCTGATCCAGTCCTAGCTTCCGAGGCAGTGGCCCGTCCTTGTTTACTCTCACACATTATCAGGAATGCACATTTAAAGAAAAGAAAGAATACTATTTCATGCTTTGGATACGTATGCTGTCTTTATGTAAAACAAACAATATTTTTTTCCACACAGAATTGCGCTACATATCAGAAAAGTTGCAAAATATTTATCTATCTGGGGCATAGCCTTGAAAACTTCAGAGCTAATTTAATACCTCTTATGATTAAGTACATAATAAAAAGACAACCTACTCCAGCTGTAACCGAACTCGTCCTCTTTCTCCACCTCTTCTGAGATGCTGCTTGAGGATGACTGTGCCTGGCCACTGCCCATTTCTGAAAATGCTGGAGGAGGGGGTGGGGGCGCACTGCACAATGGAGCCTTCTCTGGCTCCGAGTCTGACTGACTGGGTGCCTGTGGGAACAAGAAGAATGCAGTGGGTATGTGTGGTCAAAGGAAGAAAACTTCAAGGAAAAGAAAAAAGTATAATATCAAAAACAAAGGCTGACTTCAAACTAACCACTAATGGAATATATACAGGAATATATAATGGAATATAGAGAGGATTCAGGTGGTGAATATATGAAACAAAACAGTATCGCAGCACAATCCATTAGGCTGCTATTTGCTATTTTAACCAATTAATTAGTCAACTTGAAGCCTTATAGGACTTTAAAAATTTACACAAACTTTCTCTTCTGGTAAAAAATTTTCTACCAAAAGTTAGCAAAAATATGCAGAGGTGTGGCCATGATTACAAGAGAAAATTAACAAAAAAGCTGCTTTTAAAGCTTGTTAGAGAGACTCCGTAGAAAGAATTTTTTATTGCTACCTGAATCCTCTCTCCATATGATTTGCTCAACAAATCCATGAAAACAAGAATGCAGGCTTGCCTACCAGGGAGCCAGACGGTTAACACAAAACACATAAACTCTGATCTGAGGGACACCACTGTCTCTCCCTGGCCAAGGTAGCTGGCAAGGTCAATTAGAAAACGTAGGACAATACTTCAGACAAAGCCAAAGAATAGAATACTTGTTTTCACTCAGGACCATACGTCCTATGTCAAAAAACAAAGCACAAACAAAGCAGAAAAACACTTGGTACTTGGTATCATCCAGATCTTAAAAGATTATTAAACAGAATGTTAGAGTTCAAAAGGCCTTTAAGTCACTGAGTTCATTTTATTCGTTTTGCAGATGAATAAAACCTTTTGAATCTCAGGCCATGAAAAACAAAGGATTTTGTTCCAAATTATGCAGTGGAACTAGACTTCCTTTTGCTTAATTCTTAATCCAAAGCACTTTCCATTACGCCATGTTGTCTCGTACAATTTCCATAGTAAGATGGTACCTAACTCAACGGTCAGGAACTCACCCAGCTAAAGTTCTGATCTTTGTATGAAGTTGTCCCTGATGTCTTGAACCTGTAGTTTTCCTACTTTTCCTTATATTCTATTTTTCATTTATTTTTTATTTTTTGGTTTTGTTTTTGTTTTGAGACAGGGTCTTCTCTATTGCCTGGGCTAGAGTACAGTGGTGTCATCCCTGATCATTGCAACCTGGAACTAGGCTCAAACACTCCTCCTGCCTCAGCCTCCTGCGTAGCTAGCAGTACAGGCACACACTACCATGCCCAGTTTATGTTGTATTTTTTGTAGAAACAGGCTCACACTCTTGCTCAGGCTGGTCTCAAACTCCTGACGTTAAGCAATCCCTCTGCCTCAGCCTCCCAAAGTGCTAGGATTACAGGCATGAGTCACTATGCCCAGCTTTATTTTCCCTTTTTTCTGCATAAAAATTCTTCTGACATAACTTATGTTTACTTCCTTTAAGAACACGCCAAAGGACAGGCATGCACAAACACTTAGGAATTACTAGTTGGTGCCAAGAATCAGAATTTCACAAATTATATCTTATACTATAAGTATTTGACTGTGAATGTGATTTTTCTTTGATGATCCCGAAAGCACTAAATTTTCTGGCAAAGCAGAGAACTGGGTGATAGAGACTTCAGGGCAATGAATTTTCAGGGTACAGAATCTACAGTATTAAAATGTTCAATTCACATATCACTGGACGAGCAAATGTAAGTTCTAGTGCAAATGAAAACCTTGCTATCTCCCCAAATGCTGTCCCAGAAAGCTTTTAAATTAATAATGTACAAATAAAAATGAACAAACATTAAAATCATCATTGGATCCAATAAAGTTTCATTAATCATAGTGAAGAAGGGGGACACAAGTATTATACTTCAGAATTTTCCTGGTTAAAAAATATGTACTTCTCTTTAACAACAGAAAATGCTAGTAAGTAGGAATTTAGTCCATTTCATTTTTAAAAAGTAGAACAAAATCTAATTTAAATCTTCTATAATTTTAACAAATCTATGGATGTACATTTTCTAGATCTTTCCGCTTAATTTTTCTGAGCTGTTATTTTCCTTAAGAACAATCAACACACACACACACAAAAGCAGTTTCCGTGAAAACCTGTTTGCGATCTTAGGCACATTTTCAATTTTCACACTGTGAGTAAACCAAAATGGGGCCCTAACCTAACTGACTCATCATATCTAATATAAGCTTGTATTTATCTGAGGGGCAAAAAGCAAATAGGTGTTCTACTTTACTAACCCTAATAGCCTTATTCTCATCAAGATCATGTATATCTGACTTGTTACTGACACTCCTTTATATTTATTAGTGGAAATATAAGTATATAGCAAAGATTATTTAGCTTTCATTGGAAAAAATGCAAAGTACACTTGAAATCACTCCATGCCCCCATGTGTGCATTTGGTCCACCACATGCGTACAGCACACAGGGTCACACCCACCCAAGAGAAGGTCACACACAGACAAACCTTGAAGGGTGTGGGAGCAAAAGGGTTAGTCAGGGAACAATAGAAGATAATTCTACTTGAATTCTGTAATTCCTACAGTAATAGAAAACATATTCCTTTAGATACAGCATCTTTGGTTATCCACATTACAATAACATGGAATCTAATGAATATTCATAAAATATTTCCTAAAAGAAATTGTTGACAGCTTTTTTCCTTTTCATGATCAAATTATAGTATATAAATTCTTGTAAATTTTTGTTTCAATGCTGGTTTTATAGTTTCATCAAAAATACGAGAATATCCAAATATAGATTTATGAGCACTGAAACAGTTATGTTTCCTGATTCAGGCATTTACATGGACGCACTTTATGAATATTCAACAGACTCCTGCCTGTACATGCACACAATTATTTACAGAATGAATAACTCATGTAAGAGCTTTTATGACCACCTTGCAGAAGTCAGGATTCAAACTAATACAAGTCTTTAAAGAAGAAATTATATGTGAAAGTAGTGCATACATTTGGCCAACTAAACATCAGAAAATTTGAGTCACACCGAAACACAGAAAGGCATTGGACTCATGATTCTCTCTTACTCTTCAGAAGGGTTATTTAATTTCAGGGATAAAAATGAATATTTTCTGGCAAGAAAATGTGCTTAAGAAAGGATTTGCATGCCCACTCCAAACACACAGTTTTTTTTTTTTTTCTTTTTTCCTGCCCAAATGTAGTAAATCGTGAACTGGGACAAAGGCACAGAAGTCACAAAGAACAAAACATTTGCAAAAGGCAACAGCAAGATGACGGGCATTATCCAACCTTGTCAGCGTTGAACTGTAGAGAGTCAGCAAATGGGTTAGTGCTGCTGAAGTTGTACTTAGGGTAAAGGTTGTGCGGCAAGGAAGGCAAAGGGGATTTCTAAAAGGAAACATAACAGGCGCTGAGCGCAACACGTATTTAAAACAACTTAGTTTTAAAAACAAAGTACTTACTGACTTTAAAAAATATGTGAAAACAAGATCCTGTCAGATCTAGTAATCAAGGACAATATCTTAAATGGTCTGGAATAAATCTTTACTTATCTCTAATGACCTAAATCTACATCTGGGTCTAAATTAGTCCATAAAACACACAGGAAACTAGTTTGTCACATTGATCCCAGATTGTTTTTATTTTCACTGAGTATCTTCATTCTCACAGACAGAGGCACATACATTTTGCTAACTTTATATATTAATATATGCTTCATGCATATCAACAAATGTTTCAAAATTAAAACCACAAAAGTTTTTTTCATTTACACTTAAAAGCTAATTATGTTTTTTTTTTTTAAATACTCTTTCTGTTCCAGAATGCAAATTAAACATCTGTCTACTAGTTCATTGGTTGGTAACCTTCATTATTCTTTTGTTTCCCTGTAAGGAAACTTTTCCTACTTTGACTAAGGGGTGGGGTAAGGGGGTGGGGGAACCTATAGCCTGAGGGCCACATGTGGCCTTCTGGATCCTAGAGTGTGACCTTTTGACGGGTCCAAATTTTACCAAACAAATCTTTTTAATGAAGAGATTTGTTCTGGGAAGTTTGGATTCAGTTGGGGGGGGGGGTCATACTTGGAGATCTGGGGGGCCACATGTGGCCTTGAGGCTGCAGGTTCCTCATGGGAGCAAGTATATTTTTTAATTAAAAAAAGTGAAATCAATAATTTGTTAAGAAATAAATCCCTGGACAGTGGTGCTCTCTTTCTGCCCATTTTCTGTGGAGGTAGGAACATGGAGATCCATGTTTAAAAAAAATTTCTATAAAATTTCCCATATTATTGGGGGATTTATGAGGCTTTGGATAATACTTGAAGTCCTGCCTTGGAGTGTTTTTCATAGGCTTGCCTGTAATAAGCCCCAAGCCAGACTGTTAGAGTTGAACATACATTTTAAAGGCAGGGTGACTGCCAGATAGAATTTAGCATTTTCATAGTTTAAAAAAAAAAGAAAAGTAATTTCCTTAGCACAATAAATTCTTCTTCTTTTCACACCCACTATCTTTTTCTTTTATTGACTATATCCTTCAGGGGAAATTGCAGACATTTAAAATTCATTTTGGCTCCAATTAAATGTTTGTGTTACTTCTCTCTATAAAAAAGTCCCACTGGCAGGCATCAAGTGTAGAGAAAGGTTGTCATGTGACACCACCCTGTATGGGAGAACACTCTGGAAAGACTATCCTCAGTATGCCTGTACTAAAGCTTATGCCACATTACCCTTTCAATCTGCTCTTCTTGCAATATTTTTCCTACAGAGGGAAGATGGGAAAAAGAAATGGGCACAATGACATTTCTGCTCATCTCAACTTTCTCTCTGCTTTTCAGTTGAAAATGTCAACTCCTGCTTTACAAAAAGTGAAGATCACAAATGCCAAGGAACATGACCATTTGTTTATTAAGGTGGAAGAAATGACTAGTAGAAATAAAAAACAAATCTTAGACAAAATAATTCAGGGCTATGAATGGTAGAGATTATTTCTAATCCTCATACATGGGGTTATAGGTGTCACGTGTCCTGTATAATTCTGCAAAACAGAAAACAAAACTACAATGGCAAGGAATGGAATCCTTAAAGAGAATTCTAGTTTTTTTAAATTTTTATTTTATTTCTTTTTTTATAATTTGCAGATTTTATAGGATTAGAATTTGGCCCTGATAGTAGAATATAAAAGTATAGCATAAGCATAGGAGATGAAATGGTAGACCACTATTATTAGGGAAAGATTTATAGAAACAGATTATATTTCTTATTAAAAAATCAGTGACAAAAGTTTTGTTCATAGACCAAAGGCCCAATGAGACCAGAAACAGTAGTAATTAAGACACAGTACAAGGAAGACAAAAATCTTCTCTAGCCTCTATTACTGGGGCAACTTTCAGGCAAACAGTGTAGTCAGACCGAATTCAGGGAATGGTCAAACTGGCTGGTAGAATTACCAGGGATAGTTGGGGAAAGTACTGATTCCTGAACAGCCAAAAGGTCAAAGAGACCCGCTGGCTTTTCAGCCTACATATAAGATTCCCTAAGAAGCTTTCCCTATATCTACAAATAAAACATTTACCACTAAGAAACTCTTAACTGTGTGTATTTGTGAAATTTTTCCTTTAGATTCTTGGGGATATGATAATTTCCAAAGGGAAGTAAGTCATTGAAAACCACACATATTTCATTTCAAATGCAAAATTAATTCTAATTTCCCAAAGAAAAAATGAGTATAACTTGACTAAACATGTCAAGGTAAGCAAAATTTATCCTTGAGTAACTGCTACATAATCAGGCATCATTGTGCCTTCAGTAGTAAAATAGAATATTTTCCAGGTGGATGAGACAATATATCTTCTCAACTCATGAGAAAATGGGACTGACATAGAAAGAAATGCTTGTAGTTTAAGTTTTTCAAGAAATACTGAGAATCACTATCCAGCAATTTATAGTATTGTCCCAAGTGACATAAAGTGGGAAATTAAAAATAAAACAAAAAAAGAAGTAAAACCCACCCACAGACAAAAATAAAAAATAGCTTTAACTTAAACAGCCATTTACCAACATTATCATGCTGTGTCTATGTTTAACACACAAATGGAAACAAATGTAAAAAGTTTTATAGTTATTTGAACAAAATGAATAGCCTCTGTAAAGAATACAGCATGATGCAGCCCTACCATTTGGCAGATTTCCTATCTGAATGGATAATTATTACCTAACAATAAACAAGAGAATGATTAAAATCTGCAGATGTGAAGATAACTGCTTACATTAAGAACTACTAAATTTATTCCCTACAGTGAACTCAGACCAATTACACCTGTCTTGATAATAAAAGGAAGGACCAGTGAGATCAGTCTGATCACTGTGCTTATAGTGCATGGAATAGAATATTGACGCTACTTTGACAGATTAATCTCCAAAGCAGTTTGCTACTTTCCTTCCATCATTTAAGCATTAATATCTTAAATTATGCACTTTACATGTAAAATTCAATATATTTATGTATAAAATTACATATTCTAAGTTTCGGAAGATGCTTTTGACATCTCTCATATATGTTGATGCTTTTCTTTTAAAGATAACTGATCCTAAAACCTGGTAAGCAGATAATTCAAAGGCAATCAGCCTGACAGGCTTTGTCAGCTAAATGTAAAAGGGAAGTTCTCAAGAGTTTCAAGACATCTAGGAAAGCCCTGAAATGAAATGCAAACTGAGTGAATGTGGGTATTTCTATTTTCAAAGGGGCATATGACCCTGAAATACTTAATAATTGCTGCATATGAAACATGTTTTTCATGAGCCATAAAGAAGGAATAGAAAAAACAGCTTTAAAGTCTCAGCATAATTTTCGTCTTCAGCATCATTAGGATACACCAAGTACAAGAAGCCTCGCTTTGTACCTTCACTATCAACAATATTCATTAAATGTACTTATATTTTCTAAAATGAAAATGAGTGGGTTAGTAAATTTCTGGCCAGAAGGAGTTATACAGTGATGGAGAGCTATACGATGATTATAATGATGCCTGGGAAAGAGCAATTATAAAATTACTGGTAAATAAACAAAGTCCGTCCTGTGGAAATTTAATGTTCAGTGGGATATATGAATACATTAAACATTATTCACAGGTGACTCTGGGATTGCATAAGCAGGATATTCTGTCTAGAGAGCTAACTTAAAGAAAATGTAATTTCTCTTGCTCCTGAGGGACTCCACTGGACATCAGGGGCTATTAACCTGAAGGACTACAGCACTTTTTTTTTTAACAACCTGCCAATTTTGTGATTACAATAAATACTAGGTGCCATCTAGATACCCATGGTCACCAATAAATCTTACTTCTGTATGTTTTCAACAGACTTTGAAAATCTTTATTAAGCATGGTGGAAGGGTTTCCAGGATAGTTCAATTTTTAAAAAAGCAAAATCAACTCTTCATAAGTCTGAGATTTCAAAAATTGATGTCTTTGCTCATACAGACAACTTGGCCCCTGATGCATTAGATTCCAAGTTGAGCACTGTGTGGATATGCCTACCTTGCCCTCTGTGTTCGCTTACCCTTGGTCTGTTTATAATGCTCTGTACCATAAAGACTACAGGGTCTCCTGCATTCCGAATGGCTTCCACAGCTTGCTCATGGCTGGCATCTCTGAGGTCCATTCCATCCACCTGCAATGGAAGGCCTCAGCTTAACATTTCAAGAAGCTATAGAACAACAAGACAATTTGTGGATATGAAATTTGGGGATCCTTGGTTAGGACCCTAGAAAATCTGTTTTGGCATCAAAAATAACTGAGACAATTTATGAGGCTGGAGAACTTTTCATCTATCTAGTAGACTTGTGGTCCCTTGTTCTGGACACAGATTTCAGTCTTCAATAATCAACTGAAATAATCAATTAAAATGAAGGCTCTCCTTCTGTATTCCTTCCATTGCTCAGCTGTTCCTTAAATTAATAAATCAGTGTCATCAAAGAAATAATGTAAGGGAACTGCCCAGCAGCACTGTCTTCAGCATGAAAGTCACTGTACTAATTTTCTTCTTTTTCATTATGGAGTATTTTGGGAAATAGGTGGGTGATGACTTGTATATTTCTCTCTAGGTTCAAACAAGTAGGTTTGAAGTTAAGAAAAAAATTCTAATATCAAAAAAACTGAGATTATGGAAAAGTTAGTTTGGCAAAAGAATCTTTGCAGTAGACATGATAGGAGCTGGAAGGCAAGCAACTGTGCTGATTTGTTAGTAATTCTCACATAAATAGTTTGAAAGGGAAAGTTATTTGGTAAAGTTCACTGACCATGGCTTATCTAAGTGATGATCAGATCAGTGTATGCACTCTATGAATATGAAGGAGAATAGTTTAAAAGGCCAAATGCTAATCCTGCCAGAAAACTATAGGATATTATTATCATTTTTATCACTTCCAATTACCATGATACAGTATGTACAAGAAAATAATAAACTCAGAGTGGACACAATTCTGGAAAAGAAAATTATTAAATTTTTGCATAGAACATTATCACCTTTAAAAGAATTATATGTACTCTCAGGTTGAATCTCGAAGGACATAACAATATTTTTTCGGTGCACATTAAAAATGGCATTTAACTTTTTCATAGAACAAAAGTCAGTATTCCTGTCTGTCATATTATCTACTATATACACCATTTGTGGGAAAACTCAACAGGATGGTAAATACCTTTACTCCAGTCCAAAGAACTCCCTACTCAGAATAGAATACTTTACAGTTCTCTACTTACCTTGTCCACATACATTTTCAGAAACTCTCAGCAGAGACATATTTTAGGATACCCAGGATTACAGAGAACTAAAGCTTTCTCATTTACTGGAAAAGCCCTGGCCCATATGGCACTCAGCAAATCATTGCTAAATTGCACACAGTATTTTCCAACACAAAAAGGGCCTTTCTTTTCAATTTGAAAAAGATGTTTTAACTCTTAAGATATGTAACAATATTTAGAAGAAAAGTATGGCCAATTATTTCTAGAAATAATTCTAAATATTTCTTACTTTTTTATTGAGAGCAACCATATGTAACAGTAAGTATGTATAAAATAAACTTAGTAATAATCTAAAAGTGGAAATTTGAGACAATATACTAACGTAAGGAGTTCTTTAAAGGAAGGCCAAGATATCTAATGAAGGTTAAGATGCAGGAGGAAGTAACAAGTCTATCATTCTTCCCTATAAATGTCCATAAAAGAAAAAAGGGACATGGTTCTTTCTTTTTCTCAGGTCAAAATATTTTTCCTTCTTCAATTCTCAGAGACAGTCAATGAAGGAATAAATAAATAAATCACCAAAATGTTCATTTTAATGTCATAGTTCTAAACAATTCTTCTAAACAATTAAAGAATTTTAGTGTGTAAGTTATATGAGCTTAGAAAACAAGAGATAATAACTTGTATGAAGTAAACATAATTTTCACTATAGTAGTCATGAAGTTGTCTTTATTTAGTCTACTTTCTAAATCATGAAAACTGAGAAAATTTGAATCAGGTACTCCTTTCTCTATTCTTCTCAATAAAACTAAGCTCATGCTGGTCAAATAATTTATCATACTTTTCTGCAGTGATTTGTTTGCTTGTCAAATCTGTCCCACTTGGCAGGCAGGTGGTGCCTTGTTTACTGTGGGACACCCAGGGCCTGTTACAGCACCTGGAATATAACAGCTGTTCCAGGAATATCTGTTGAGTAAATGAGTGAGTGACTCATGAGATGAGGGTCTATTTAAAATTTTTAACTTTGTTTTGATTTAAGGAATGAGATACAATCTGACCACATGCTTGTCTCTGGCACTTAAGGAAATCCACATACTTATGCACATGCGTGCATCAAGGACAAGTGTGTCCTCACACACATAACCTTCAGGGGTGAATAGACGTAACACTCAGAACAAAAAAGGAGATCCTGGCTTGGACTAAGAAAGAAGTCCATAAATGAAAGGTAATCGATGTCTTAGTGTTAAATAATTTAGCAAAAAAGACCCAGTTTGGAAAAAAAAAGATAAACTCAACCAACAAAGTATATCTTCAATGAAATAATAAATATATGGAAATAAAATTTCATTGAATAATTTAAGAATAATTTGTGTGTATATGTAATTTTCAACAATTCAATTTTTTTCTCTAAAAACTGGCTTTCTTCTTTTAAGGAGAACATAATTATTTTACCTTGGAGCCAATGTTTTTTAAAATGGTTGGCTAAATCTCCAAATATCAGTACCTACACCAAGATGTACAATCTGTTACAGTACACATAAGAGAACATGGATGAAAAGAAACAAATAAGAAAGAAATATTGTAAGCACAAACATATGCTGGGTAGAATAACTTTATAAAGATGGAGCGAGTGAATATGTGACACAGTAAGCCCACTACCTCTACTATTCTATCGCCAGGTTTCAAGGTTCCATTCTTGCCAGCTGGACTATCTTCAAGAACATGCTTGATAAAAATGCCCCTCATCACTTCACCGCTGCTTAGACGACTCCCCATCCCGCGTCCACCAACAATGCTGATGCCCAGGGATTTGCTTGGTTCTCTCCAAAGTTCAACCCTATAAAAATAAATAAAATTGTCAACTCTTATAAGAAAACACAGGGGAAAATCTCCATGATTTTGGACTTGGCAATGATTTTTCATATATGAAACACCAAAGTTACAGGCAATAAAAGAAAAAATAGGGACTTCCTCAAAATTAAAGACCTTTGATCCTCAAAGGACACTATCAATAGAAGACACCAATCCCTGGGAAAAAAAATTTGCTAACCACGTATTTGATAAGAGATTAATATCTGGAATATAGAGAACTCCTAAACTCAACAAAATAAAAGACAGATAAATAACCCAAAAGCACATAAAAAGATGCTTAACATCACTAATCATTAGAAAAATGCAAATTGGAAACCCAATAAAATACCATCTCACATCCATTAGGATGACTACTATAAAAAAAAAAAAAACTACAGAAAATACTACGTATTGGTGAGGATATAGAGAACTGGAGCCTTTGTGCACCGCTGGGAGGAATGTGAAATGGTACGGCCATGAGAAACCGTTCACAGGTTCCTCAAAAAATTTAAAACAGAATTACCGTATGACTCAACAATTTCACTTCTGGGTATAAACCCAAACAGAATTTAAAGCAGGGTATTAAAGAGTTTTATGTATATCCATGTTCATAGAAACATTCACAATAGCTAAAAGGGGGAAGCAACTCCAGTGTCTATCAACAAATAAATGAATAAACACAATGGTATACACATGTTATTCAACTTCAAAACGAAAGCATTTCTGAAACATGGACCCATGCTACAGTATGGGTAAACCTCGAGGATATTATGCTGAGTGAAATAAGTCAGCTGAGTAGACAGATGCCAAGTGATTCCCTTCCCATGAGGGACACAGAGTCAGCAAACTCAAATACAAAGAAAGTAGGTTGGTCTTTAGGGGCTTGGAAGAGAGAAGCGGACTTTTATTAAGAATGGGGACAGAACCTCAGTTTTGTAAGAAGGAGGAACATCTGTAGACAGTGGTAATGGTTGCAGAGCAATGTAAATGTACTTAATGCTACTGAACTGTATACTGAAAAATGGTTCAGATGGTTTATTATTTTATACAATAGAGTAATTGTTATATGTGTTAATCTTTAAAAATATTATTTGCTCAATTTATTAAGCCTTGAATAGTACTAAAATAAGGTAGCTTTAACTACTTTTTCATATATGTGTTTTGTAGGATATGATCAATACTAATGTATTTCTGAAGATGATTTGTTACAAGCAAATATTAGACTCATATTCCAGGATCTGGAACATACCAATGTAAAAATATCATTTTGCAGGAACTGTAACATTGCAGGCATTAAGTAATCAAGAAATTCAGCTACCACTGAACAGATGGTAGCTTCTAAGCTTAGCAACTAAATCAAGAGAAAGAACACTCCTGAGCACATGATGTCAGAAACTTGCCTCCGTACCAGCCTTTCTTGCCAAGGCAAACCCGCTCACTAACAGTAAGGGCATTAAGATCAGTGGATGACAAAGTCCTACAGGCCCACTCTCACTACCTCCTAGCCTCCTCCCCCATGGCCCTGCACTCTCCCCGCTCCTCTCCAGCCACCAGAGCCATCTCCTTCCCTGTCCTTCCGGTTTATCTAGGAAGCTCCCGCCTTAGAGCTTTGGCACTTGCTACTTCTGCCTTGAACGTACATCTAATACCCACAAAATCAATACATGAACTCATTTATAATCTCATTTATAATAACTACAGATAGCTATGTGAGCTCTGAATGGACTTAGAGTTCACATCTTGGGAAAAGGTGGGGGTATATGAATAAGGTGATTTGCAATGAAAGGTTTGGCTAAGATGCGTCAGAGCTCAGGGTGTTGGAGTTAGGTACACAGAAAAATGGTAGTCTTTCTCAAGATATTATTACCTAGTTTTAAAAGGATGAAATTCAGAAAGGGAAAGGTAAAACACAGCTCTGAGGTCAGAATGAACAGTAAACTGAGTCCCTGGGTTCAAGTCCTGCTCCTCTGCTCCTTAATAATTATGTGACACTGGGCATCTTACTTGGTCTCTCTCTGTCTTACTTTCCACAGCTATGAAATGGAGCCCATTAGAGTCTCTACATCAAGAGTTTCTGTGAGGGTTAAATTAATTATATGTCTGAATTGTGAAACAAAATCTTTGACATATAATAATCTGTAAGTCTTTTACTACTGGTATGATGAAGATTATGATTACTGCAGTAATGAAAGCAAGATATGAAATCAATCCATGTAACAAATGAGCAAATTTGTACCTCATCCAATCAATCTTGATATACCATACACTTATTTAATAAGACAAGGAGGCATTTTCCACTCACTAGACTAACCAGAACCCTTTAAAAAATGATCGTATGATGAGCTACTAAGAATAGGGAGACAAAGAAACTCGCAAGTAAAAATTTAAAAGCAATTTAACAACTTCCAAAAAAGTAAAAACTACATATAAATTTATGGGCTATAAATTCTACTTCCAGATATGTTCCCTAGATAAATTATTATGCATTAGTGTAAAGAAATAGATATACAATAGGACCTCCATAGCTGACCACCTCCTTATGTTGACCTAATTTTCATAGACTGGACATGCACTACATGTAACTATCAGTACAGTAGGCATAGATCCTTATGCTGACCACTTCCACATATTGGGTGGTCAACTTATAGAGGTTCTATTAGATAATTATATTTAGTAACTATTACCTACTCAATATTAAAGTAAGAATGTACAAATTGTGGTACATTCATTTACTGAAATGCAATACAACTGAATCAAGATCTAACTAGATCTTTAGGCATCAAACACGATAGACTTACAAAACATAAAATTTAAAGCAAGCTTGGAAATAATACATACAGTAGTATGATACCTATTCTGTAAACGAAAATCACATGCAAAAGTAATATACCCGATTTTACATTTTTAAATGACATTTTACTAAAATGTAATCTCCGTTTCCACACAAAGTAAATTTTTGCTGACTTCATAAATGAATGGCTCGTTTCCAATGCTGTGAAGTATGTTCCTAATACTCCTCATTTACTGAAAGCTCTGGTGGTTCTGGTCAGCTTTCTCATAATGTTCTATGAATTTACCCCTTAAAGTAGTTTGAAGCACTACATTAGTGAGTATAGAGTACCTTCTTGGTACTCTCCAGACATTTTCTCTATGCAAGGTAATTACCAACTTTAGACATATCTTAGGCTAATGTGAAAGTTAAAATTGAGAAGAAAAGAATAAAAATCTTCCAGTCCAGAAGTTGAGTTGTTCTTTCACACTAGAAAATTTCATAATTCCTGTGTTTGATGCTTTTTCTTTGCTTAGCTATTAGTGACCAATATTATATTATTATAGAAAACCAACCGCTGACTGAGTACTCATATGTGCCTGGCATTATGCTAAGGATTTGATATGCATTATCACAATGAATTCTCTCCTCAATTTAAAAGGTTCTATTATTAAAAGCTTTTATTAAGGGTGGCACCTGTGGCTCAAAGGAGTAGGGCACCAGCCCCATATGCCAGAGGTGGCGGGTTCAAACTCAGCCCCGGCCAAAAACAGCAAAAAAAAAAAAAAAAAGGTTTTATTTAAAACCCCATGGGGAGAGGATAGGTGGAGGAAGAGTAATTGGTGGGCCTGCACCTATAGCGCATCTTACAAGGGTACATGTGAAATTTACTAGGTGTAGAATATAAGCAACTTAACACAATAACTAAGAAAATGCCGTGAAGGCTATGTTGACTAGTTTGATGAAAGCATTTCAAATTGTATGTAAAACCAGTACGTTGTACCCCATGGTTGCATTAACGTACACAGCTATGATTTAATAAAAAAATAAAATATTTGTTTTACAAAAAAATAAATAAAAAATAAAACCCCATTTTGTAGATGAAGCAGCTGAGATATAGCAGAGATTAAGAAACTTGCCTTAGGAAACATCAGTGCTAGAATTCAAACATGGCTCTTACTGACTCCCAACTATTGTGCATAGTGCCTTCTGAAATAACTTTTCTTCTCATAATGATATTAAAATGGACCAACCTACCTTTTGTTTTCCTGTGATAATTATCTTCAAACAAAATTCAAATTTATCACTCTGACCATCTGCTATAAAAGGTCATTTCACTTATTTCTACCTCCATCCACAGATAAATAAGATACTTAACACGCTACAATTTCTGCCACCGATAGAATTTGAAGAAATTCAAATAAAAATTGATTTTAGATGGCTAGACATGCTTATTGTTTCTTTGAAGGCAACATAAAATGATATTGTCTGTATTTTGAAAATATTTAAATGTGATGGCTGCAGACTCAAGTTCATGCTTGAACAGGGAAAAAAAAAATCACCAAACTGTATTCTATCTCTGAATAGCAGAAATTCTTTTCCTGAACATTTTATTTACTCACTATATAACAAACACCAGTGCTTACTAAGCCCAAGGCACCACGGAGATGGTTACTTTTAGATCTGTTTGGAGGGGATGTCCAATGATGATCAGTTAACGTTTTACACTTAATTCAAAACACCTTGTATTGTTCAATCTTCTATTGCTCATGTTATCTCTCTGCCTTGCCCAGCCAAGTACATCAGAACTTCCCTGAAGGCAGGATTCACGTTTTATATTTATTTCCCTGCTATTCACACAATCACTGGCTTCAAGTCTGGTTCCACAATCAAGACTCAATAAATTCTTACTAAAGTGAAGGTGACGTGGCATGAACATCCCAGTATGTCTTAGTAATGTACAATGATATAGCTGAGTATATTTAGAAAAATCACCTTTTCTATTACATATGAGACTGGTGCTAGACAGAACATGGATTAGGATACACTCAGCCTGTGTGAAAACAAGGCTGTTTACTTTCTCACACACATTTCAAATAGATGCTTGAACATCTAGTTTCTACAAATTCTAGATAAAACTTAAATGAACATTTGGGGGTATACCTAGAATCCAGTTTTATAGAATGTACTATCTATCCCAACCCCCTACACATAATTTTTCTAGGTGACTTCATTTAGTCCCTAGTGTGTGCCAGATCCTCACATATGTGTTAGTTTTAACCGGTGTGATGCACATTATTTTCTCCAGTGTATAGATGAAGAAAGGGAGGGTTAGAAATGGAACATGACTTGCCCAAGTTGTAATCCAGTCTGAAGTAAACTGTCCTATCTTTAAACACTACATATCCATTGAGTGCGCAGAGGACAGAAATCGTCCTTACCGCCTGGGCTGATTCCAGTTGCTGTATGCTGCATTCTGAAGTTCACTTTCTTCTCCCTCTCCTTCTTCTCGCTCTGGTAGTTCTGGAATGTCTCTGGTTAAAGAGTTACACAATAAGTACTCCGAAATCCCAGTGAAATCATGCAAGGTTTTCTTATATACACATGTACTTTATTGCTGGTTTAGCGAAAACTGCAGAACAGCTTTCTATTTTCACCATACCTGGAGCGTATGTACGTAACATTTTTACAACAAGGAAAAGGAAAACCTAAAAAAGCAAAATTCCATTAGGATCAATCTACCATAACTTCGTCTGGCTAAATAACTGAACTCAAAAGTCTCGTCTAGTTTGTTTTCTTTCCTGATGAAACATGGGAGAACAGAACAAAGGAGTTGGAAGAAAGGGATAAATACCAAAATTCTAAAGAAAAACTCCCCTACAAGTATTAATTACACTCCTACCATGTGAAAGAATCTGCTAGAGGCGCCATGTGGGTGACCAGCGTGCTCAGCCTGGACCCCTGACCTGAAGGAATGTCTCACCAAGGATGACAGAAATTTAGCATCTCTGCTTCCTAATGATGGACGCACACTTTCCCCTTAACTTTTGGAAAACAATGTGCAAATGCTTATGGTCCAGCTTCAGCCCATCCAAAGGGCCCAGACACAGAATATTTCTTACAGGCAGCAGTTTACCATGCAGCTGTGTTCAAGGTTACTTTCCAATTTCCACAGTAATTCAGAGTTTGCCAAATGCCAAGCATGTAACACACTGTGTCCAATCTGCTGACTAAACGTAAATAAACTGTATAATAACAACTACTATCCAAAAGAATTCTGTTTTGCTAATGACATACTCTGTATCTATAAATGGCATTGTAAGAACAATAGAGAATAAACTGATGATGGTATATCCTCATGCCATCGGTAAAAATTAGATTTTTAAAATAAACATGTCCACATATTACTTTTAAAGTAGAGAAGACTATAAAAATTCTAATTCAATACATGTTTTCAGTTGATTTTTATAGAAACCAAAAAATCTAAAAACATAGGTATTCAAATTATGGCCATTCTCCACTGAGAGTAATACTGAACTACCTTAAATTATATAATCTTTGAGATCAGAAGTCTTCTAATCCCGCAATTCCCCCTGCTTACATGTACTTCACGATGTTTCTGGCAAGCAACTGTCTAGGCTTTCCTTGAATGTCTGTCTCATTCTTTCTTTGACCACAGTAATAAATTTATTTTTAAACCATTAGAATGAAATCTACCAGTAATAGGGCCCACCACTGGTTTTGTGTTTGAATTCCCATTCTATGAAAACTGAAGAATAAGGCTCCAAATGAGGCTTTCTGTAGTCTACATCTGATGGAGATCTCTTCCCAGTTCTGCCCTACCAAGAAACAATGTCAAAGAGCTGACTGAGAAACAGACAGTCCAGGTGAAGTTACCCAGAGGACACAAGGCAGAGGAGTACAAAGTAGGCCTACCCTGACAGGAATACAACTGGAGAGAACAGGACAGAAAAAAAGGCAGGTGAGACAGCCAGACCTGAATGAGAACTCAGAAAGAGCCCTAAAATGCCCACGGGATGAGGAGAGGTTCTTAGCCCTAAAGCCTAAGCCATAGGAGCTCCTCGGAAACATTCATAGCCATACGGCATCAGGCTTCTGCCTTTTTAGCTAAAAGAAGATAAATATACTGAATTGTTTCACATAAGAACCCCAATCTCTGCAAATGATTCCATAAGCTTGATTCTCTTCGCTGACCCAAGCATGCTCCCTCCTCTAACTGTGCCCCTAGTGACCCATGTCAGAGTGTGGTTTCGGGGGACTCAAGTGTCATGTCCCTCTATACTCACTCAGCTTACAAAAAGAAGAGAGACATCTTTGCCCTGTTAATACTGCTGAATGTCAATAAAATGTCAATCAACTAAAATAAGTTATTTCTGTATATAGGTCCAGGTGAAATAACCTGCACAAAGACACACAACAATGTAGCCCAGGTGAGATTTGAACCGAGGCCATCATACCACAAAATCTGAGCTCTTAAGCTCTATGCTATACATGGCACGTGTTTTACAGACTTGTGCAATTCTTTCTTTGGATCCAGTGGCTAAGAACATGAAGTCTGACAGCTCATATGTTATACTTGGCCCTGACATGTATTAGCTATGGGACTTGGGCAAAGTACTTAACCTCTCTCTGCTGCAGATTCTTCTCCTGTCAAATGCAGAGACTTGGTTTTGTTTTAAGTATGTTGGGTATCAGTAGCAAATATCGTTTCTCTGCAGTAACACAGCCAGTCAGGGTATCTTACAACCCTGCCCAATCTCTCTATTCTAAGGATAGAGATACAATGCTGGAAATGGCTTTATTTCTAGTAACTTTTTATGTAGTTTAAAACTCTAGAACTTGATGGGACTAAACTATTACCCAGTATATTCTTTAAGTCATTTGAAACAATGTTTCAAAGGGACAATGAAATGATTACTTTTATCATTTCGATAAGAAGCACTAGAATTGACACCAGCCATTAACTCTGAGATGGAAATCCTGGGGTAGAGTGTGGCTGAGCTTTGTACTGTGTGAAGGGAATTCAGCTGCACCCATCAACTCCTATCCATGGGTTCTGCAACTGCCAACTGTACATCAAAAATATTTTGGAAAAAAACTGGATGGTTTCTTTTGTACTGATAAGTACAATTTTTTTTCTTGTCATTATTCCCTAAATAATACAGTATAACAACTATTTTCATAGGCTTTAAATTATATTAGGCATTATAAGTAATCTAAAGATGATTGAAAGTATATGGAAGGCTGTATATAGGTTATATGCAAATACTATCCCATTTTATATAAGAGACTTACTTGAGCACCTGTAGACTGGTATCCTCAGGAGTCCTGAAACCAATCCCCTGTAGATACTGAAGGATGATTGTATTCCTTTTCCCATAAAATTCACAAGGCCCTCAAGAACCAAGACATTCCTTCCCTTTATTAAACACCTAATGTATCCTTCCCTTCTCTCACACTTTCTGTGTACTGTGCAGAGGAAACAGTGATGCAATACTGTGCTGAATTTAGGCAGGTTGCTGAGCACAGGCGTGTTCTGACATCCTCAAAGAAATAGTGGAACTCTTCTAAGAAGACCTCAGAATGATTGCAAAGCCATTTCTGCTACACCATATGTTTAAAGAGAAATTTGTTTCTCAGTTACCAGTGCAAGGAAAAAAAAAAAAAAAAACGGGCCAAAAACTGAAAGCACAAAATGGCATATTCTTCATGGAAAATGAAATAGACGTTATTCTTTCCCTATTCTGAACTTAGTCAGCAGCAACATTAAAGTCCTTTCCTATCTTTCCTAAGGGGAAAGTTAAAAACTTTCCCTTTATTATTTAAAGGCTCTTAGGACATTGTAAACAGGCTTTAAAAAGCCAAACACTAGTTTCTAACATGCATAAATGCCATCACCAAAATTCTCCATAAGAGCAAAAAATAACTATTGAAAATGATTCTGGACTTGAATGTATGTGAATGAAGGAATAAATAATGTCTGATAACGCAGTAGAATCTCCATAGTTGACCACCTCCCTCCAAACGACCAGACTGCACCACACGTACGTATCAGTACAGCAGGCCTAGTTCCTTATGTGGATCATCTCCAGATGGAAACCAATTTGTTACAGGGCCTTGGGTATCAACTTACATGGTTCTACTCTATTTATAAAGAGAAAATAATCTTATACAAAACCGTACAAATTTTGCACGTTCTAAGAAAATAAAACCATATTCATATCTGATGTGAATGATCAAAATATAACATGTTAAAAGTGCTGTACTGGATGGCAGCATTAAAGAACCGATTTTTAATTCCTTGATTTGAATATTTATACATTACTGAACATTTCCATATTACATAATAACTAATTGGGAGAAAGTAGGAATATTTTTTAAAATCTTAGAAAAGAGAAAGGAACGCAGACTTCTTCTTTGTTCTAATCCTCTCTCACCCTGGATTCAAAATTTCTCTTTAAAACTTGCTGCTGTTTCTTTCATTCACTGCAGATGACATAATGTTTCACTTACCTGCCAGCGTATGAAGAGAAAATGTCCAGTGCCATTATTCCTCCAGACTGTTGGTCCAAGCTTATTTTGAACTCTTCTAAGTGTTCGGCAGGCACATAGGTAATTCTAGAATAAAGCATAATCCATGAAAGCTAAAATAAACTAAGTTTGGCCTATTAGAAAAGCTTTCAAAATATAAAAAAAGAAACTGTATTTTCCCTTTATCTCTATTTTTTCATACATCTCTTTTAATCAGCATACTCAGCAGAGAATCCAAACTTCAAAATGATAAGATAATACATAGGCAAGGATAACAACCAAAATTTAATTTTTAAATGCTTCCAATAACTATGTGTTTACCAATAATCATATGGGGGGGAGGAAGTATGCCCAAGTGAAAGTACAATATTTGAAATTAAGAATACCTATAAATCCCTAGAATAATCATAGTCAGCAATAACATTAATTTTGTCCAAAAAAATTTAAGTTCCCTAGAAGAAATAAATTAGGTATACTCCATTAAAAAACTAAGTATCACTAATTACCTTACATTTTCCATTATATATAATTAATCATAGACATTAACAAGCATCATCAAAACAATATTAGCTCTGGTAAGTTATGAACTCTTAAGTCTGAAGTATGAAGTTACCACTTAAGTTTATGGAAAACTCTTATTAATCTGTAGCAATTTCTTACAAATTTACTTGGCCATGAAGGCTATGTTAACCAGTTTGATGAAAATATTTCAAATTGTATGTAAAACCAGCACATTGTACCCCATGACTGCATTAATGTACACAGTAATGATTTAATAAAAAAAAAAAAATTTTACTTGATTTCAAAGAAAAGCCATCTGTTTACACCTGAATGGCCATTTACTAAGTAAACAAATCCTGATGAAATGTCTGTTATGAGGAAGATGCATGCTAGATGCTGATTGCTGTTGTAACGATCAGAAACTGACATTTAAAAATTTAAATTCAATTTGAAAGTTTAGTGCTGTCCTGCAAGGCTATTTACATAGTTGATACCTTTTTAAGTAAGTAGTTCCAGCATCCTCGTATTGAAGAACAGAGATAAGAGAAAGATTTTATCAAAAGACAATGCACCAAGTCTGTATAACTAAAAAAAGCATGTCAAAATGCACAATATAGAGATCTCAAAGACTATTAAACCATTTGTCCATAATTTTCTGTGAAGACGACAAGTATATAACACCTCAGCATTGGATGGCAAGGATAAAATGACTGTTTTATATATTCTATTCAAAAAATTTTACCAATGATATAGTTTATTGAGGAGGACATCTAATTTCAGATACATTGGTTATTACACAGAAAGTATTCACTCTTTCACTTCACCAGAGTGTGAGGTCAATTAGGTTTTAAGTCAGAAAATACAGTTCTATTTTATAGTACAAAAAAAAAAGATAAATAGAAAACATAAAATCTTAAATGACTGCTCAAAAAAACCTGGTGTTATTTCTGAAAATTCATCAAAACTCATGTAAATAGAATCTTAACTTTAAAAAGCCAGTTAAAGGTGATGGGAGAAAGATAGGTCACAAAGCAAAAATAATAATCATTACAAAGTATTTAATTTTAAAATTAGTTTGCAAAAGTAAAGATGTTTCTATGACAAAGAACGTTTAAAATGAGTTTTCCTCTCTATTGACCCCACGCTGTTTTTTCTTTTACCAAAAGGTAGAGAGTGAGGAGTGTTATACAAATATTTTCCTGATACTTTTGGTAGCAGCGATAAAGAGCAAACAAGGCAGTTTTCAAAATATTTAGCCCAATATAGACAGTGAAGTCACCAGAACAAGCATCCCACGACACAGCTACACCAAGGCAGAGCAATTCTAACACACGTCTGGTCGCACAATCATACACAACCTACACCTGCCAACCCCAAATCCCAAAGCTGCATTACAAACTACACAGACACCCTGTAGTTTATTTGAGAGTGGTATTAAAAATTCTTAAACGTAAACTAACCTGTGGTTACCCAGAGTAGATGAAAAGAGAATACCATTCGTGATGCTGACATATGATATGGCTATTGATGCAGAGACGGAGCCTGCCTGTGCAGATAGGATCATTCCCTTCCAAAGAGCTTGAAGGCTCAGTAATTGGAAAATAGGATTTTCAAATGAGTTCACAATCATCAGTGTGATGTGAAAATGTAACGATCTCATAGCTCTGTTGGAATTTATGTTCTTATATAAATGAAGAAAACAAGCCAAAATGTATACACTGAATCTATATCTGGATCTATCCCTGCTTTGGGACATTACAAAAGCACAAAATGTTTTTCAGAGGCAAGTTGTAACACACAGCCATAATGAGCTTTTGAATCACCGATACTCACACATAAAAGGGGGCTCGATCATCAGCAGGTGCTGCGGAAAATCTAGAATGTGAAGCATACGCTGCGGCATCTTTTTACAATGGTGTTAACAAATGTCAGTGTCTTGTGCTGAATGTGAGATGCATACATATGTAGTTAAAAGTGGGTGCTCCTGGGTGTTTTTTTTTTCCCCTTTCCACCTCCCTCACATCTACACCTCCCTCAGAAAAGCATCTGCTCTTTACTGATGTCTATAGCAGTGATTATTAACAAGCATGGAAAAATGTAACTGCAATCAATCTTTTATTCCTTGATCAGGAATTCATCCCACACTTTAGGTTAAGGCAGGTGAATTCTGATTCAGCTTGGTAATTATCTGGCAGATGTTATAAGCAGCTGCTGCTAAGCGTAAAACCCTAGCTATTATTACAGAAATATAAGAGCTCCTGGCAAGGTGGAGTGAGAAGTGAAACAGAATGCATTCTGGTGAGGCTTCACATCTGGTTTTCCATAGAAAATAATGAAACCTGGAACTTAAAGTGGCTGTTCTTGAACTCTTAAGACTCTAATTATCTACCCAGGCATGCGTGAACACACAGACACATATAAGTTCCTAGATGTCTATTGGAAACAGCAAAACAGAAATTGGTGCTTTGTCCCAATAAGCAATGCTGCATCGTCTCAATACGTATTGCTTTCCCTAAAACTAATAACTGATTAGGAGCCTTTTTTAAGTCCCAATAATACACCTCTCCACCACCACTCATATTAAGCTAGGTTCATACAAGAAATAAGGAAAGAGACGGATGTGTATGGAGCCTAGATCCAGGTAATATGCACAAAGCTTGATGGGCCAAGGGCCGTATGGTTCCATTCAGAATAACAGAAAGCTGGACTTCCATTCTGGGAGGATTATTCACATAGCTTTCAAAGTACCTCTTTCATTTCATGAAAGTCAAGTGACAGGAAGGGAACAGAGCCAAAATACCTCATACAAAATGTACAGAATATGATGCTTAGCACTCGTCAATATCAACTGGAGTTTTGTCACGCAATACATTTTTTTTTCTAAAAAAGAACTATGTATGGATGGTTAAAACCATAGTTTCTATCTTTTCCTTAATGAGTCAAGCTATAATTATCTGAATCAAATATTAGTAGAACATTTGAGAAGAAATCAGTGAGTGTCGTTGAGGGAGAGTATGTGTGTACGTGTCTTTGTTTGTATGTGTGTTTTCATGGCTATGAGAAAGGGACTGATTGATGAGGTGACTAATTTCTGAAGGAGGAAAGGTTGAAGGACTTTTTACTTTTCTTTTAAATGTAAGATTCTATAGTACATTTACAAGAATGAGAACCTGAAGAAATTACTTATGAAACTAGCCCCCTAGACAGCTTTTATGGTCATCATAAAGCTGCTGCCTGAGTAAATTTGGCTGAATTAGCAGGCAGGGGGAGAAACCCACACAGAGAAAAAAAAATAAGTAAAGGGGAAAAAAGACTTTATGAGCTTGAAAATCTATCTCAAAACTTTTCTAGAGGAGGGTGGAGCAAGATGGCAGACTAGAGACAGCTCCTTTGTAACTGGGCATGGTGAGATTGGAGAGAGAAGACTTCAGGCACCTCTGGCTTCTGAGCTCTACCAAGAAATATCCCTTTGGGGGCACAGGGAGGCAGCAGGAGACTTCAGGATCCCAAGAGGAGGATAAAAGTAGTGAAGAAGAAGTAAGTGTTTGCGATTGGTCAGAAGCCAGCGGCCCAGGCGGCGGCCTGACAGTGCTATAGCAGTGGCATGAGTTTGCAGTCAGAAAGGCCACTCCATGTTTTTGTTTGTTTGTTTGTTTTTTTAGGAGGGGGCACTTGGGTACTTGATTGAGTTACTTTGTGAAACCTTGGAGGAGTGAGCAAGTTACTTTGAACAGTGCCCAGAAGCCAGGACTGAGCCACCAGGGCAGAATGGAGCTTTCATTGTTCAGCCTTAGTCTGGCTACAGCCATTGTGGGAGAGCTGCCTTGCAGCCTCTGCCCTCAGTGTCCTAAAGCAAGGCAGGGTCTGGAACACTTGATGAACAGGCAGCTACTTCTGGAGAGATCCAAACGACACATACTTTCCTGGGAAAGCCACTGCCCAGGCAAGGGACATGGTTTGGAAAGGTCACGGCGTGTCTATTAAGCAGGCTAAGGAGAGATTCAGGCTCACAACCCTGAGGGGTTTGAGGGTAAAGAAGTCAGCAGAGGCTTCCAGTCTCCATCTTATACATCTATATCAGCATTGTGATTAGAATTGCATATCACAGAAGATTACTCATACCCAGGCAATATAGTTGTTTTTCTTCTTTTTTTTAACCTTTTCTTTACAAATAATTTTATCGGCTTTCCCCCCCTAGATTTCTCTTTTTCTTTTTTTTTTTTAGTTTTTCTCATGTAAATATAATTTTTCCATCGTTGCCTTCTTTAATAAAGGCTTCATTTTAGCTAGTATTTCTGCCTCTGTTATTTGCTTTCTCCCACAATTTTATCTCTTAGGTTTTTGTTTTGGTTTGATTTATAGTATTTTTGTTTTTATTCTCTATTTGGTGGGGGGTGGGACCTATGTCTGCTCAGGCTGGCAAAGAGCTGTAGACATCAAGGGACCCACCCAACTCAGCCCCCCTCAAAGGTTAGAATTTGTGGGTATGGGTCAAAGTACCCTACTGTGAACCACTATTACCCCTGTCTGCTCTTCTTTTTGTCAGTCTTCCCTTTTATTCACCCTCTTTCCTTTCTCTCTTTTTA